GCTACGTCCCGAGCTGGTACTACAAGAAAGCCGAAGCCAGACTGGAGCAGCTCACGTACATACCGGACAAGTGGCCTGCCCTGAAAAGTGTCCGCCTAGACGAGGAGGCGGAGGTGATGCAGGCGATGCATTCCGAAGTGGGCGACGACATCGACGACGAGACGCAGGACGAGACATTCAGGACGACCAAGCCATTCAAGACCAAGCTCGACTTGCGTACTACGCCCCCTCGGGAGGCCAAACGCCCCAACAGCACGTCTTCCACTACTTCAAGTACCACCGGGTCCCAGCATCCTGATCCTGTAGTCGCCCCTTCTCCGGCCAAGCATCCGCGCGCAGCCCAACGGCGCACGCAGTCCACCCTCGCCCGGAAGGAGTATGCCAAGCTGACCCCAGAAGAGCTCCAAATCATCGAGGTCCCGGGTCGCGGGGTCACTTCCTGGCGCCATTACGGGATACTGGTGAAATTCCAACCCGGTACTGCCAAGGCAGTCGAGCAAACCAGTGGATTCCCGGATTACACCCCGAATCTGTCCAAGCCTGAGGAGCGCGACGCCGTTCGGGCACGTTGGCTTCCGGGGCCGTTCAAGGAGCTGTGGAGTACCAAGCCCTGGGACGAGATGTTCGACAACCGATCCAAGTTCCTGGTCTGCCACGCGCCTCCAAAGGCCGGCACGAAGGCTCTGGTGCGCCTGGATGAGATCGTCACCTACATGAGCGACCACCGCTGCACATTCTGGCTGATTGGTCACTGGTTCTCGATCTACAACCAGTTGGACGCCTATTCGGAGGAGTTCGCTGACACTCGGAAATCCGAATGTGACAGCATCCGGGGTCACTACCAGAAATTGCTGGACGCCGCGGTCGACGACGGTCTGGAGCAGTCGTACCTCGAGGAGCCCGGGGTCTGGACTTTCCCGGCCAAGTGCTGTTCCTGGATCTGGATGGCGCCCTCGCACAAGAATGCCGAAGGCAAGCCGTACTCTCTGCAGGAGCAACTCGCGCTGACAGACCAGCAGGAGCCCGCTCGGGTGCAGTGGGACTCCTGCTCCTCGGACGAGGAGCGCATCGCTCACGCGCCGGCCCAGCTGGACCTCCGACTCCTACCAGAGGCGGACCGCCACCGCTACCTGGTTCCCAAGAAGTTCCCGTAGCGCGCCCGAGACCTGTTCTCCGCGTCGAGCTCGGAACTCAACCTCAATCCTGCATGTCGTAGCGTAACACCCACTAATCCGAAACTCGTTGTCATTTTCGTCTTCCAGACTTGAGTCGCTCCGATAGTTCGTTCCACTTCCGGGTCTGCTCCTCTGACCGGGCGCGCTTCGCCTTCTTCTGGAGATCCTCGGTACATGCTCGGGCGTAACTGTAGTCTCGCTGGAACTTGCGTCTCCACTCGTAAGCCGTCCGTTCAGGAAGGCTGGAGGGTCTGGGTCCCAGCATTGCAGTTACCGTGCCCTGGGCATCCCAACCGTGCACCAGGTAAAACGGGGTGTCAAGTCGGGTTGCGTCGAACGAGGTATTCAGGGCGAACATCAGCCTCTCAGCATGGTCGTCCCAATCTGACTGGTTTGCCTCGGCGACGTATGCTTTGACACTCCGAATCACCGTTTGGACCGACCGCTCTTGTTGACCGTTAGCCTGAGGCCGGTAGGCCAGAGTGGCGCGTTGCTTGCTGCCCAGGAGCTCCCGGAACCTGGTGAACACCTCGCTCAGTTCCGAGATCAGGATCTCGGACGCAACACCCTGGAGGAATACTCGGCGAGCAGCCCGGAATTAGTTCCGGACTCTGAACCTGAAGGTGAAGTCGAGGAAGAATGCGAGGTAGATTTGCCTACGTCCGCGATGGACAGCACCCCGCTCAGGCAGCTAGAGATCGAATACGCTCGCTGCATGAGAGTGAGCGCTGAGGAGTTGGACCTGGAACCCTCGGTGTACATTCACGAAGGAAGTGAATTGATGGCGCAGCTGAGGGACCAATTGGCCCTGCTCCCTGAATTGCCGGATCTCAGCCCGGAGTGCGACATTGACAAGGCCGACGTGGGTGAGCCCGGAGTGAGTACTCCTGCTCAGGAGAGTAAGCTGAAGGACATTCTGAAGTACCACAGGAAAATCTTCCTGGGTGACGGGAACGCCGCTCCAGCGCCTGCCAGAGGCGTGGTGTGCGACCTAGACGTCGGAGACGCGAAGCCGGTGGCCCAACGGCCCCGATCCGTAGCTCCACATCTTATGGTGAAGGTTTACGAACTCTTGAAGAAGTTTTTGGGGACGGGACTGATCGAACATTCTGAATCGCCATGGGCTTCCCCGATTGTGATCGTCCTGAAGAAGAACGGTGTCGACATTCGGATGTGCATCGACTATAGAGTCGTGAACGGTTTCATTCAGCTGTCCAGCTACCCGCTGCCTCTGATTGATGACTTGCTAGTCGGTTTCGAGAAGGCGATGTGGTTCATGAGTCTGGACATGGCGAGTGGCTTTTGGGCGATTCGGATGACGGAAAGAGCCAAGCTCATCTCGGCATTTGTGTGCCCATTCGGGCATTTCCAGTGGGCACGGATGCCATTCGGGTTTTGAAAAACGCTCCGCTCGTCTACCAACATGTGATCAACAACTGTTTGTGGGGATTCGTTCGGTTGCCACCCGAGGAGGAAGCTATGGTAGATCAAGATGTGTTGGGTTACTTCAGATTGGATCCTTCGCAGCCAGAAGCTGAGTACGACGGTGACGCCGAAGCCGCCCCGGAAGAAGGACGTCTGCCCGCCCTGACTGACCAGATGACGGTGTTCAAGCGCAACATACCTGCGCCCACAAATAAAGATTCGAGTCCGTACTTTGTAGGAAGATAGCAAGTCTTGTCCGATTTCCCCTGCACGATAAGATACAAGAGACTGTCCTGTGCAATCGTTTGATGCTCCTCAACATCTCGTAGACGAAAAGATAGAGTTGAAATCACCATCCTCGTGATATTTTTTGCTGGAATGTTAACGCCCGTCGATACAAGTCGTACAATTTTACGAATGTTTGCTAGTTTCTGTGAGTCAAGGGCTCCGATTCTTGCTCGTTGAGAATATTCACTACTATGTACGCTAAGTACCGTGTACATACAGTATATCACTGAAAATAGCTCACTAACGTCGATAATCTTAGCTACGATGAGTGCCAAGCACAGTGGCAACATCACATTCTTTGTCATCACTTAGCAGTGCGCAGCAGGGCCTCCGAATATGGCATTTTTATTTAGTAGGTTGGTCGTTGCAGAATAAATTATCCCCTGACGCTCCTACCAATACAACAGTACATTATGGCATTGCCCCCAACGTACCACAATAAATAATGCCATTATGAAAAGCATGAAGTCTATTAACAAGACACCAGTTAGCTTATCATCTAGCTCAAATTGTCCACAGTCGTTGCATCCCAGTACGACCGATTCTGGCGGAGAAACAAAATCGTCTCAAGCGTGCGTGGTAGCAGGCCGTGTCGTTGATGACCAAACGTCACCCGAGCAATGCTGAAGAAGCGTTCCACCACGTTCGACGTGGGTGGGATGCTCTTCAGCTGCTCATACTTGACACGGTCCCGTGCAAGCCGCCGGCGCTTCCGAAGACGCTCCACGAACAACGCGGCTGGATCCTCCTCCTCTTCACTCGCGGCCGCGTCGTCCGGTCTGGCAGCTTCGAAGGGCTGCAAAGCGGCCTTTTCAGCACGCGTCAGCCGCTGCGCCTTCCCGCGGAGAACGCGTACACACCCAGCCTCAAAATCTGGGTTGTGCACAATGTTGGCCCGAGGCCCTGCAAAATAAAAACCATTCTACAATTGTTAGTGAAAATATTGAACACAAATTCAACAGTTATAAACTTACCAATGTAGCGCCCATATTGTGGCTTGACAGCGATCAGCTCGTCGAACCACTCGCGAACGTCCAGCAGGTCGACGTCGTGGCCTTGAAGGGCCTTCGAGACCGACTCGATGTCGCACAGCTCCTGGTACAATGCCCGCAGTCGCTTGTTCATCACCGGCGGCGGCAGCAGTCCCCAGTACGGTAAGATTGTTGTGAGGAGTCGATACCCAGTGCAGCGTCGTGTGCACGAACAACTCCCTCCCGTCAGCTTCGACTGCCTTTAAGACCCCGAGCGCTTTCAACGAGCGCGGGCTGTAGTACAGCTCGCCATTCTCCCAGACGTATCCGTGCAAAAGCACCAACTTACTGCGCGCTCCCAATGCAGCGTCCACACTGCAAGTCTTCGTCAGCACCCGGATGGTACAAAACCTCCACCGCACAAATCCGACTGCACCGATTGCTCTCGTGGACACGATGATCGTAAGGCATCCCAAGGCGAGCACAATATGCCCGAGCAACCCCATGACGTAGTATGACACCACTTCAGCTGCCGGCTGCGTATCCTTGAGTCGGTAGTGCTGCAGGACGGCGGCAGTGATGAACTCACCGACCAGCACCGTCTCGTAGTTGAACAGCAGTCGCTTCACCTGGCACCGCAGCTTCTCGCTCATCCAGCTCATCGTCTCCACCATCTCGAACACCATGGACATAAGACCTGCCAAGTTGTAGCCGAGCGAGATGGACTGGATGCGTCCGAAGAATACTTCTTGGGGGCTGAGGAGGAAGAAGTCGCTCATGACTCCCTGGTCCACGAGGAGGAACATCAGCAATAATCGGTGGACGTTCTTGGCTCCGTGAGCCGACAGCCGCATACTCTCTTGGACGTAAACGATGGCTTCCTGTATTCGAATTGGCTCGGCCATTTGATCGCAGTGTTTTGCGAATCGCCTACAAGAGACGAAGCTTCTCCGTAGCGTCGGTATCCTGACGAGGGTGAAGGACGTTCCAGTAAAGATGTACCACTGTACTCCACGTCACCTCTGTCTTGAGCGAGTCGCAGTCCATTGATGTCGTACTTGCCTCGTCCGCTTACGGTAAGGTAGGCTGTGCCGTCCTGCATACAATATGCTCCTTGTGTCTCTGCATAGATTGCGTAATAACCAATACTACCGTGATAGAAGTTTCCATGGAAGGCAATGATCTGACCGGAACAACTTGCTGATGTCCGGTTGTACGTGGAATTCTCCAGAATATACATCGCGTGGACATTGTACTGCGGCACGACTGTGTGACACAGTATCCCTGCATGAACGCGGTAGTAATGTGTAGGCCAGGTATTCCATCGATCTCCAGCAATTAACAACTCCTTCACAGGGCAGACTTTTTCCAGACTCGACCAATTCAGTCGCCAGGACGTTGGCCCGACGTCGCTTTGTGCAGAACATGCAGAGTTACGGGTTCGCCAGGCTAGAGGTGACGCCGGAACAGGCCAAGATCCCGCAGGTTGCATTCGAGAGGGTGAGGAAGTGGCTGGTGGAACAGTTGGAGCTGCCCAAGGAGAAGAGATGGATTGACTTTGTGAACGTGAGCAAGCCAAGTGAGAAGAAGGAGGGAGAAGAGGACGTGGAGGACAATCCGAGCGACAGTTTGTACACTTCGCACCCGGTGGTGTAACGTGGACGGCGTGTGGGGTTTAGCGCGGATCGGAATCGAGAATACTTGCAGCTCCGCCTTCCTATCGCTGCAAGTGGGACGCTGTGGCCTCCGGTATACTTCCAAGACAGTGAAGAGAACTAAGAATTTGCCAACGACCTGCTGATACTCCTGGAACTGCTCGATGATATGGCGAGAAGCTGCATGAAGGCCGTCTGTGAGCTGCTTAATATCGACGAGAACTGGCTGTTTGAAGAACTTCTGGACGACAGAATGCGTGCGTCGAAGACGTACGAAGGACCACGAGATACAAGCTATCAATATGGCGCATCGGTGCTGCGTATCTACAACTACCGCAACAAGGCCGCAAACGGTAAGGGACCAGCCGAGGTGGATCCGAACGATAACTCCTGTGGCGTGCATGCCGATCTCGGACTGGTGACGGTGTCGCCTTTAGCCACGGTCCCTGGCTTGCAAATGTGGAACTTGGAGTGAATGGTATGGGCCGATGTGAAAGCGCCACACCACTGCAAGTCTCTGTGTTTGCTGGAGAGACACTTGGCCTTCTGACCCACGGGGTCATTTCAGCGCCGTTGCATCGTGTACCGCCGATCTGTGTGGAAGCGGAAGCTGAACGCCGAATGTCCATGCCCTACTTCTTGCGCGCAAAGCCTGAAGCTTGCCTTAATCCGAAGGCTCCTGTCGCCGAGCAGATCACATGCCGTGACTTTATGGAGGATGTTGTATTCAAGAAGCGCCCGTGGAGACGGGAGAAGAACAAAAATCCCACCCCACCTGACTATTAGTCAGCTGCTATTGTCTCCGTACCCAGGCTGGGAGGTAACCTTTACTCCCCACAGAGCCCACGCGTGGGCCCATCTATAAATATTTCTTTAGAAGCTACTGGGAATGGCTAGTGTACGTATATCGTTTATAAATAGAGAGGAAGGTCTGAGCTGTTCAGCGCTTTTTTTCCGGTCACAAACGAAGCTGTCTTCACGGTGAAACTCGGTGTTGGAAATCGTGTTCAAGGAAAGTCTAAGGGGACACTGGGCAAGGAGGGCGTTGTCCTGTCGATCGACAACAGCAAACGCCAGCCGTGGTACAGCGTTCAGTGGGGCGATGGATCAGTACAGTCAGTGTCGGCGCGTTCAATACAGCTACTACAGGCTCCCAGCAGCGACTCAGCCATGCAGAACCCGACTACGGAGCCTTTAGAGTCGATGGCCGCTTTGCTGTTAGCTGGTGTTGGTGCGGGGCCTGGTCCGGGTGACTCGTCTTCTTCTGAGTCGGAATCCTCTTCAGACGAGGAGGAAGATGAAGAAGATAACGCAGATGATACGTCTACGATGGTCTCTGGAATTTCTAACGACGGAAAAATACTTGCCCACAACCGCATCTGGGAATTTTGTTCCGACCTCCTTGTCGACCCTGCAACTTTGCAACGCAAGCGCAAAAAAAATTTCGCTGGCCGGCGACGCTGGAGTTAGGAGAAAAGACCTTCGCCAAATATTTTTTTCTGATGTACCCGTGGTCGACCATACAAACTACTCTACAGCACACAAATGCCAAGTTGGTGGAGCGTAAGCAACGTCCAATTGCTGAGGGAGATTTGTTTCGCTTTCTGGGAGTTCGGCTTGCGATGGCAGTCGAGCCTAGACGCGGTCCCTTGCGGACCTACTGGGAAAGAGAAGTTGGTGAGGGTATGGTTGGCACAGCCGCAAACTTTGGTGAGCGCTTCTGCATTACACGACATGCCTTTGAAAATATTTCAGCTGCGCTCTCTTTTTCCGATGATGTGCCGTCAGATGACCCATGGAAATCTATAAGACCGCTAATAGATTGATATAATTCACGCCGCCGCGATGTAGTATCACCCGGGGAGATTCTTTGCGTGGATGAGTGCATGAGCGCCTAGCAGGGCAAAGAGGGTAAATACTGCCACGATGGCATACCTCACAAGACAAAAATCCCAAGAAAGCCAGAAGGCGTGGATGCCGAACTAAAAGCTATCGCTGATGGTGATTCGGGTGTGCTGTTGGGGTTAGATTTGATGGAGGGAGCCGAGCGTCAACGCCAGAAGCCATACCACGCGTTGTTTGGTGAGGGTTCAGCGATTGTTCTGCGGTTTTCTGAAGTTTATAAAGGTAGCGGGCGCACCGTTGTTGCAGACAGCGCTTTTGCTTCGTTAAAACCCTTGTGCAACTTGAAAATCTTTGCGGTCTTTACTTTATGGGAATGGTCAAAACAGCGTCTCGCGAGTATCCAAAAAAGTATATGACAGAGTGGTTTGGTTCTGAGCCCGCTCGTGGGTCATTTAAGATGCTACAGAGCAAAACTCCCAAAGGCACCGCGATGTATGCTCTCTGCTGGGCTGACCGCAAAGCGAAGTGCCTCATCTCAAACCGCGGAACGGCGCTTCCTGGCAACGATAGCGTTCGCCGACGGCACAAGCTCATCCTAGACAACGGCCAGCTGAAAACAATACAGTATGACCGACGTATCCAGCGCCCGCAAATGGTGGAGCTCTTTTTCTCGAAGTTCTCGGGGATATATGTTCATGATCATCTTCGACAGGGTAGCCTCGAGATCGAACGAACTTGGCACGCAATGCAGTGGCAACATCGTTTGCTCGCTACGGTGTTTGGCATTGGTGTACGAGAACTGGGGAGATCTGATCTTCGCTATTTGTCACACAGCGAGTGGTGAATTTTATCGATTGGAAGTACCGTTACGAGTCGTGTTTGACCTTCTAAGCAGCAAACCGTTGATGCTTCGCCTCTGGATAAGTTGCGTCAAGTCCAACTCGTACGCACCGACACTTTTGGTGCATCTTTTGAAGCATGTGAGGTTTTGTAAATGCGATGATGGGAGTGAACATGCGCGGATAGATCATGACATTCCTGCTCAGAAACGCTCCAAGCGCTACCAATCTCTACTTCGCATTCAGAATCGACAGGTCCTTGTGAGCATTATCGAAGACAGTGGAGGCGACTTTCAGGTTTCTGGATATGATGTGCGAAGCGAATTGACCTACAAACTTCTGCTTGAGCGTGAAGCTCTTCACCGAATCCTCAAAACGGGTGTTGTCCACGATGGTGCGGATATTGGAGAACCTCTGGCAACTTCCGCTTCGTCGCTACTACTCCGTCGGAACAGAAAGCTGCTGTGTGAATGGATTTGTAGTCGTCTGCGCTTCCAAAGCATGCTAGAACACCCTGAGCTGGTTACGTCCGGAACTTCACCGTTAGTTTACGGACTTCATTTGCGAGAAAGTTTTCGGATTCTGAATCGGTGGATTGCTACAAGTCCGAGGAATCCGCTGAGTGCTGTGCCCGATACAGAAATTACGCGCCGCGCGTCTTCAATCGACGCCGCTGCCTTTGCAAGTCTGCAGTTCGACCAGCTAACACTAGTGGCGCACCGCCAACTCCCTTTTGAACTAGAGAAAGAATATGTTGGCACGATGGACTGGATAGCAGCTGTGGCTGGAACGTCGCCTTCATCATGGAAGAAGCAGCTTCCGTATATGAAAATGGATTTCTTTGTGAAATCTCATACTTTATTTGCTCGACTGCGTGGGGAACTGGAAACTGAAGCGAAGGAACGTCGCAAGAGAGAGAACTGGGCGGGGATGGAGCAGGAGGATCACAATGTGCTCTGCATTGATGATCCGAATATGATTCAGTCGCCTGCTATGAAGTATCTGTCCTCGACAACTGATACTGCCAAAGCGGCTGAGAACGAAGCCCCAAAGACTGATGCTGATTCAAACCTTCTAAAGGTGGTCGCAGCAGACGTATCAGCTATACCAGCCAATTCAGCGACTACCAGTGTCGTAAATACTGGGTTGCTGATCCCCAGCAACAGCAGTGAGCCGATCCAGGAGGTCTTCTTATCTGACGTACCCGCCTGGACGCCTTCAGCACAGCTCCCGTTCGTGATACACGCACAAGAAATGGTCAAACATTTCCGGTCATTATTTCACCAACAATGGAGGCAGCAAAAGCAGCTCCCTGGCTCTCGTTTTGGGCGGCGCTCGTCAAACGCTAATGAATTGTTAACCTGCCAAAGAGTGCCTTACGGCGTGGTAGTGTACCAGGTTGTTCCACGGGAATCGTTCTCGAAAGCCCAGATATCTCAAATAAACGCCCGGGCTGCAGCACTTATGGGTGGAGCTTTCGTTTGTGGTCCAGTACTGTTTTGGCCCTCACAGAACCGCAGCGACTGGTACCAGCGCTTGCTTGATAGTGATGCGGTTCACAGAGAGTTAGCTATCCACTCAGAAGACAAAGAGTTTGAAGATGTGCCACTGAAACGCCCGGCGGCTGTGCGTTCAGCCAAATATTTACCTTGGAAGCAGTTTGCAATTGAACGACTACGAATTGCTCGAGCTGTGAAGCGGGGCAGGACGGCGGAAGGACTAAGCGCTGATTTACTGGTGGAAGGTGTTGGCCAGATAGAAAAGGACTCGTGTACTATCGCCACGACCTCAATTGGATTCCGTCAGCTGGAGCTATCACTTGGTGTGCGAGATACCCGTGAAATTTGTGGTGATGGAAGTGTTAGCAAGGCTATGAAGCATCTTTTTGCTCTATACGAGGACACTGAGGACAGTGACGAATTGACGAAGTGGCGGGTTTCATTAAATAACCCTTGGATACTGCATAACGTTTTAGTCATCTACGACCAGGATGGGCACGATATTCAGATCCCCGCTACTGGGCGTGACGACAAGGACGTCTTCACGATGCTAGGGATTCAGGTGGAGGTTGACGACGTGGATAAACCACGCCGTATTCTTTTTTCTTGTCGTGAGCTGCAGACCCAGCGCAGATACTTTGTCGACTGTGACTTTCATAGTCTTCAATGTCTCCTTTTACAACGCAGGCGGCACGTCGTGAGTTCTGACCCTCTTCTGCTCACGTTGTCGGTGCAAGCTGAAGCTGCATGGAGGCGTCGGTCGAGGGTTACGACAATTCAAGACTGGAGAAGAGTCGCAGCTCTAGCATCCCAGTTCCTGGTGTTTCGAAGGAAGAATGGCGCGCTCACGTTGTGCTTAGAGCAGCCCACCCCAGAAATACAGGTGCCGGAAGGTAGTGCAACAACCGAGCCTGTTCCTGCTGAAGTTGATGAAGCTGATAAAGTCAGAGTTAAACCGAGTGATAGCAGCACCGAGCACTCTGTGGATGAAGAAGAACCGGTTGGTATTAGAGGACACGAGAACGAAGTTGCTCCGCCCCCAGTTTTGCCGCGTCGACACCAATTTCGTGTTGACATTTTGGAAGAGCAGAGAGCAGTAAAGCTGTCGATCGTGCAGCACTTTCAGAAGCACCAAGCGGCTATTCGGTCCGCTTCGTGTGGTAGAATACTCTCCAGGACTGCTTCTCTCGGTTCGCAAACTGCGTCAGAGTGGATGCAGATGACTCAAGAGGATTGGCGCTCGCACGAACTCCGTGGTATTCTGGTGTTGGATTCGAGTGTGCTGACTAAATTGGAGAAGGCGTACACTCCAGCGACAAGACGAGCTCGAGAGTACCTTAAATCTGCACCTAACGAAGACGGCAGTGGTGGTGCTGAGCTGCAACAACAAGCAATAGCCAAAGCCATGGGTCAGACCGCGTTGCCGTCGAGTGAAGTAGAAGTCCTGCAGTCAATTAGGATGTTGCGATGGCGACGTCGAGGCAAAGAGGCTACTGTCGCTGCGAAACGAGCGGAAGCCTACCTAACGGATATTGCCGAATGGTGGCGTCGCCGGTTAACCACCATCGAATCGGAAATGAAATGATGCATTATTCAAGTACATGTATCGGCAATGATGATGTGGAGACTAAGTGAACGTTTCGTCTGGGCTATCAGCACTTCGTCGCTTCCTATCCCAGTGTAATCTCGAAACGTCAGCTTCGAACGTCAAACTACCGTAATCTGCATGTGCCAGCTTACTTTGTTCAACGCTAAATGTTTATTGATCGCTCTGGGCGTCATCGTCGATCTGCTGTGCGCGATGCTTTCGCCTTCAGGTTTTGATTCTTCAACTTGAGGAAGGCTTGTGCGGCCTCGAGTTCCTTCTTCGTGAACTTGGCGACGCCCTTGCGGCATTTTTTTGGACGCCGTCCAGCTTCTTGATGAGCTCGTTGAGGCTCACCGTCTTGCGAGCGGGAAATCGTCATCTTCTGCAGGGATGGGAAGTTTGAAGTGGACTTTGTAATTTGGTTGCTTTAGCTTTGATCCGCAATTCAAAAGCGAATTATGGAGATGACGGTCGTCGACACTGCCAGCGCCAGCGCCACTTGCCAGTGTCGTTGCGCATGTCAGCAAGGACACCGCTTCCGCATTCCCTAAGCCCTTCGGCGACCCTCGTCAAGGCGACATGCTTCACCAGCGCCAATACTGTCCCAGCTTCATTAAAAAGTCTGGTTCAGGCTGAATGACAAACGCAGCAAAGACTACGTCGGCGTAACACTTGCTGCTGCTCGCGGTACTACATGCATCTTCGAGCCTGCCAACACGCTTAAACTTTACGTCGGTCTCGTAGCAAACAGCATTTGCATGCAAGACGAATGATTTATTTTTCTGTGTCTGAGGCCTAATTAATTCGAATATTTCTCATCCCTCCGAAGCCGGCCAATCATCATCACTACCGGTAACTCAGTGCAAGCAACTTCAACTTACGCTAATTTCTAATGGTTAGAAAACGCTTTAGGCCATTTCAAACTGAAATAAACGGTCATTAATCAGTTTGATTCGAATCAAATAGCAAACGGACCCAATAGGGGGTCCTTATTGATGCGCTATAACAAATTGTTCAACTCTTGGGGCCGAAAAATGATGTGCAGCGCAGGTTGCATCGCTCTTCACGACTTAGCAGCGACTCGTAGATGAATCCAAGGTATTAGTAGCAGCAGATCTACTGTGTTCGCTATCTTTTGCCTTAGCCTCGAGTGATACGAAGTGCACTACTTCGCGTTTTGTCCCAATTATTTGGAGTTGCCTCATAATCTCCCGGAGTAAGTGCTCCGGGTAGCCTCACATTATGCCTCGGCTAGGATGCGGTGGAGCACCTACTGTAGACAGCGAAGGAGGGAGAGACCGCCAGCACGGACGAGGCCAAATCCGTTAACGAGAAGAGAATTGACATGGAGGAGATTTTATTTATTAAAAAAAATGATCACCGATCGGTCTGGGCATAATAGTATTGTGCTCGCCTTCTATTGGTTCTTCAACCTGAGGAGGGCTTGCGCGGCCTCGAGTTCCTTCTTCGTGAATTTCGTGGCGCTTTGTGCAGCCTTTTGGGGGGCCTTCTTGATGCTGTCCAGCTTCTTGCCGAGATCACTGAGGCTCGCCCACTAGGTACGTTCCTCATGGGTCGTCCTTGGCGTCGTCCTCGTCGTCTAGGTCCGTGCTCCGAAGGAATCTCTTCCAGGAGTCCGTGCTGAGCACATTATCGTTCGCGAAGTCGGGAGTGGTCTTCGACAAGAGCGCGGACTCGTCGGCAGCCGCGAACGCTGCGACGAAACTGCTGTGAGCGAAGACCGCAACTGCCAGTGCGACGTAGAATACACTGCGCATGACTGTAGCGGACGGGAGGGAGGGGTGTGTGGGTGGCCTTGTGGTCTTGTGGTCTTGAGCGCAAAAGACAAAGTGGCAGTCAGTGTTACGGCTGGCTAACCGTCACGGTTGCCGTGCCGTTGGTCAGCTGTAAACCGTAAGCCATCCTGTACGAGAACTTTTTATAAATACAGCCATGAAATAATAGATTGAGAGGTCCTAATCCGAATCCGATCCCAGTTGTATTTAGAGAATCTCTTTCGGATTCGGACTACATGTACGATCCCGTTTTCGTAATGCGCAGTAGGGGTAAAACTGTACACCTTTGCCAATCCAAGTTGGCAGCAGTGTAAGACAATGATTACATGATGATTACTCTGCGTTAGTGTTGTTGGATACACGTAGTTGGATGCACGTAAGATGCATTGGATGCATTGGATGCATTGGATGCGCATATTATGCATTGCATCTAGCCATGACCGCCCTCCATAAATAAATAATATATCATATGCAGGCCGGGGCACACCCGAGCAAGCGCTTAGACAGCAGGTCTTCGCCAGCGTACACGTCACGAATTTTAAGAGAGAGATAGAGAGAGAAGGAGATCTATTTTCCCTTTTGAATTAAGTTGCTGCCTATAGAGAGCGTACCAGGCAAATAGAGCTTGGTCCTCTCAACTACGAACAGAACATAGCCTTCTGGTTGCGTTCCTTCCTCCCGGAACCCCTTCTTCCTGTCCTTGAGCTTGTCGACGACTCCTTAACCACTCCTTAACCACCGGTGGGGCACAACGGGGCGGGCATTGCGAAACGTTGATTAGGTCCGGAGGGCCTGGCACTCGAAGCAGCTCAAACACATCGCAGTGAGCGTCTCCGGAGTTCACTTCGTAGGTCCAATCCTCGACGACGAGGCTTCGCCATGAAAGCGAGCGTCCCGGGAGGGAAATCAGCGCAAGGGCCGCCTCAACGACAGGTAGAGCGTCACTCCTTTGCCGCGGACTCAACATCGTGAACTACTGCAGGCTGCTATCCTTGTCGTGACCGCCGCGTTCGCGCCTATCTTCACTTGGTGAACGGATATCTAGACATGACATGCGTAGGCACTACCAGAGTCCCGTAACACTCACAGACCAGCATCAAGCAACAGAGCAGCGTATACTTACGAGTTTCCCTGCCTGCGCCAGCGGTGCTGAGGGTGGCGGAATTGACGAGCTTGCTGCGCTCACCACGAGAAGATTTTTGGCGGGAAAAATTGCGACCGCAATCCCCCTCTCATCTATTTTGTGTAAGTGGTATGCCATCAATCGACTTAGGCGGGGAATGCATCCAATGCATGTGGATTTTTCTCATCCAAGTTGGCAGCAGTGTAAGACAATGATTACATGATGATTACTCTGTGCTGAAACCTTAACCCTTTCCCGCTAAAAGGATACAGAAAGCGCCCTTTAGATGATTTTCCAACACTGGTAGAGTGTACCCCCCCCCTCCTGAAGGGCGCATCCTGTGCCCTTAATTAACCTTCTTTTAAAACAAATCATAGTCGGTACGCAGAGTAGCGTTGTTGGATGCACGCAGTTGGAGCTTTTTGAGGGATAATCCAAAGCTTTGCGTCTCTAGTCCACAGCGATTGACGACGGAGCTGGCCGATGGGCACAATAACAGGCTGCCGCGTCAGGACCATCAATCTGCGGCGACGGCTGTACCATTCTTGAGGTACATGTATAGCGAGCTACGGTACCCTTCTTCAGGTACCCACATGCAGCAGGTGCTGAGTGTGCAGGTTCGGGCGTCTAGCGCGGGGAGCAGGTGGGTACAGGCAACATCTATGGGTACGATACTTAGCTGGCTATTTGGGCAACAAAATGCAGTGTCGGCGTCGAGCTAACTCGCAATACTGACGTTACTGTGGATGAAAATGCAGACTCCAAGATCCTGCTTGCCGGGCACGGGTGGCTCTGGGGCCGTAGAGGACGGCGCGTGGCCATTTTCCGCAGGTGCGCGTGCAGCGGCATACTTGTGTGGTTATAATGATGCTATGCTTGTAGACTAACGTGCTATATTGGTGGTGCTGTGAACGAACAGGAGGTGAAGTGTGGATTGGCGCTCGAGGGGCCAATACGCCCATGCCATGGACCCCATGGTACGTGTTGGGCGTGCTGGTGCATCCGGTTTTTTTGACAGCAGCACCTGGGCGCGCTATACGTGGACGACCGTGAGCAGCAGCGCAAGAACTGCTGCATCGCGTGCAAGATCGGCGACTTCAGGCTCAGCGCGGACGAGGTGCTGCGCGGCCGCCTACGACGGGATGCCCAATGTGGCGAAGGTGGCGCGCCAGGACGCGTACGACACGATCGCGGCCGGCAAGCAGTCGCGCGTCATCATGCTCGTGCGCTTGCCGCTCATATCCGACGCGTCGTGCGCGTTCGACACGTTCTGCGAGATGTTCGTGGCCAAGGACATCAACGCGTACCCCTACGGGTCGCAGCGGTTTGCTCCGTTCGCCTGCTTGTTGCTGGACAGGCTGCTCAGCGTGGCGGCGTGCGGACGGATGAACTGGTAGAACTACAGCTAGATGCACAGTTAGGGTCGTTCATGTACAATAATTCCTTTAATGCTATTAGAATATTTGCTAGCCATGGTCATGTAATGCGCGTGGACAAATAATGCAACCATATCTAGATTGACAAGTTGTTGCGGGTCATGGCAATACCTACTACTGCTAGTAGATACAAAAGGAAGAGCACTTGAGCAGTAGTTGGCAAAATGCAAAGTGATTCGATTCAGGTCCTTAGTTCGCAACCGCGTGCTACCTCTAAGCCTGCTACTGGATACCTCTTACTGGATACACCCTACTGGATTCTCTACTGGATACACAGTTACCTTATCCAATCAGAGAACGCCACGTCGATGCCCATCTTGTACCCACAATCTTGGCGTAATCACCGTGACGTAATCATCGTCCCGTAATCACCTGAATGATTGCGGTACAACACAGTGAAGGTCACGCCGACCTCACTGATGACGCGTTCGCGTCACACGGTCGCTTGGCGAGGCGTCGTCACATCAGTCTTGACAACACTCCCACTCGACTCGTCAGCGACCACGATGCCCAGCTTCGTCCTGAGCGCGTCGAACTGCGGCGCCGCGATCGGCTTCGTCATTGATGTCCGCCAGCATGTCGAGTGTCGAAACATACTGCAACACCACTTGACCGTCTTCCACCTTCTCGCGCACGAAGTGGTAGCGAATGTCGATGTGCTTGGTGCGCTTGTGGAACTCCGGGTTCTTGGCCAACGCGATGGAGCCTTGGTTGTCCTCGTAGATCTTCACCGCTTCGTCGCTCGCCATCTCGCCTAGCTCGCACAGAAACACCTTGAGCCACACCGCCTCCTGCGTGGCCTCCGACAGCGCCATGTACTCGGCTTCCGTCGACGAGAGCGCCACCGTGCGCTGCTTCTTGCTTCGCCAGCTGATGCATCCGCCGTTCATCATGAACGCGTAGCCGCTCGTACTCCGTCGAGACTCGATGTCGCCGGCCCAGTCCGCGTCCGAGTAGCCTTGCAGTCCGTCCTCGCTGCTCGCTTGAAACACGAGGCCGTGCGTCTTCGTGCCTCGGATGTAGCGGAAGACCCTCTTGAGCGCCTGCCAGTGTGTCGGACATGGGTCCGCTGCGAACTGGCTCAGCACTCCCACTGCCGCTGCGAGGTCCGGACGAGTCCCCACCATGAGATACATGAGGCAGCCCACGGCGTTCCGGTACGGAACATTCGCCATGGTCTCGTCGTGCTTGCAGCCTCCCTCGCACATGGCCTTGGTCAGCTTCAGACCTGGATCCTGCGGTGTCTTCACAGGGTTGCTCTCATCCATCTTGAACTTCTCGAGAATGTCCTTCGCGAACTTGGTCTGCCGCACCGACACCTTCCCAGTCGCCACATCTTGCTCGATCTCCATACCGAGGAAGTACTTGAGCTGGTCATCTCGAACCGGTCACTCAGCGCCTGCTTCGTGTCCTTCAGCATCCCGTCGCTGCTGCTGGCGAGGACCAGATCGTCCACGTACAGTGCCACGAACATCATGTCGTGATTGTCCCGCTTCAAGTAGATGCAGTGGTCGGACTCGCACTTCTTGAACCCCAGCTTCAACATGAACTCGTCGATCGTCTTGTTCCACATCCGCGGCGACTGCTTCAGACCGTACAGCGAACGCTTGAGCCGGCACACGTAGTCGGGTCGATCTCCGTCCACATATCCGTCCGGCTGCGCCATGTAGATGTCCTCGTCCAACAAGCCGTTGAGGAACGCGGTCTTCACATCCATCTGGTGCACTGTGAGCTTGTACTTGGCCGCCAGACTCAGCAACACCCGAATCGACGTGAACTTGGCCACCGGCGCGAACGTCTCGTCGTAGTCGATGCCGTACTTCTGCGAGAACCCCTTCGCCACCAGTCGCGCCTTGAACCGCTCGATCTCTCCAGACTGGTTCTCCTTCACGCGGAACACCCATCTGCAGCCGATCGCCTTGCGCCCCTTCGGCAGTGGCACCAGGGTCCACGTCTCGTTCTTGCGGAGCGACTCCACCTCCGAGTCGCACGCCTCTTTCCACTTGTCTGCGTCGCTGGATTCCATCGCCGACTTGAACGTTGTCGGCATCTCTCCCACTGAATCCACGACGTACGCAGCCTCGAAGTCTTCCTTCTCTTGTGCTGCGGCAGACATCTCGTCCAGCGGCTGCTGTCGTCTCGGCACCGCATACCGCTTGGCACTCGGAACCTCCACGGCTTCCTCGAGCGACTGCGTGCGCGGGTGTCGCTTGCTGCCGGGTTCAAAGTCTTGATTCCGCGCAGCTTCTTCTCTGTTCTCGTCTGATCCGGACTGAGTCTCTTCATCCGTGGTGTCTTCATCATCATCTGTCGGAAGACCCACCAACACCTCCTTCGAAGCGTAGTCGCGTCTCCCACCGTCGAAGACATCCTCCATGAACTGCGCGTCGCGGCTCACCAACACGCGACCGCTCTCGATCTCCTCGAACCGATACGCCTTCTCGTGCTCCGAGTACCCGAGGAAACGACAGCGCACCGACCGAGCGTCGAACTTCGACCGCTTCTCCTTCGGCACGTGCACGTACGCGTGGCACCCGAACACCTTGAGGTTGGCCAGCAAAGGCTTCTTGCCGGTCCAAACGTGGTGCGGCGACTTGTCGTGACTGATGGCGCGCGTCGGACACCGGTTGCGGAGGAACGTGGCCGTCATCACCGCTTCTCCCCAGTACTCCTTCGACAACCCGGCGTGCTCCAGCATGCAGCGCGCACACTCCACCAGCGTCCGATTCATTCGCTCGGCCACTCCGTTGAGCTGAGGCGTGTATGGTGGCGTGAACTTCTGCTCGATGCCGCGATCCGCACACAACTTGGCCATCGCACCCGAAGTGTACTCGCCGCCGTTGTCGCTCCGAAGCACCTTCACTCGCTTGCCGGTCTGCGTCTCAGCCAACGCGACGAACGCAGCGAACTTGGCAGCCACCTCCGACTTGTTCCGTAGCAGGTACACCACGCAGAAGTGCGACTTGTCGTCGATGAACGTGACGAAGTAGCGCTTGCCTCCGAACGTCGCCGTCTGCATCGGACCGCACACATCGCTGTGGACCACCTCCAGCACTTGCTTCGCACGGTTCGGCGACGACTTCATGAAGCTTACTCGCGTTTGCTTGCCGAGTGCGCACCCGTCGCACACCTCCCACTGCTTCACCGACGTCATTGGGATGCCAGTGCCGTAGCCCTTCTTGACGATGGCGTCGAGACCACCATGGCCGATGTGACCAAGTCGAAGGTGCCAGAGGTACGATGTGGTGTCCCCTTGGCGATTCTTCGAGCTTGCCGCATTGGCCTCGTCAGCAGGCGTCCTCGGCGTCATGCAGAGCTTGAACAGTCCTTTGCCTTCGCGAGCGCCGAGCTTCCACTTGAGACCCTTCGTTTCCGCGAAGCACCCGTCGCTCTCGAAGGTCACTGGCCCGACGTCCTTGGTGAAGCGGCCGACGGAGAACAGGTTGCGCGACAGCTTCGGGATGTGCCACACACCCGTGAGCACACCCTTCTTCATGCCGCGCGGTGTCTGCATCGACATCACGATGTCGCCGCTCCCCACCGCCTGAACCACGCCGTCGTCCGCCAGATGCACGTCCACCGGAGAGATCTTCTTGTAGTTCTTCATGTACTCCTTCGAGTACGTCATGTGCTGCGTCGCACCTGAGTCGACCAGCCACATGCCGCTCAGCTTGGAGGAACCCGTGTCGCCACCAACCGAGAAGAGGAAGTCGCCAGAGTCATCTTCGACCTGCGCGACGTTGGCTCGTTGCGGCCTCTGCCGCTCCCCGTTCTCGCGGATCCGCACCGGACACTTGGCGATCCAATGTTCGTGCTCGCCGCAGTAGTGACAGGCGCTCGTCCTCTGCGCTTGCGCCTGCCGTCCCTTGCGCTTCCCGTTGTCGCTTGTCATGAACGCTTGACCTTAAGCGTGCGCGGTTCCGTCAGCACCGCCATCTTGTTCCTTGCGCTTCATGTCCTCGTGCAGGAGCCGAGACGTCACGAGCTCCCACGTCAGCGTGTCGGAACGCGATTCCAACGCCGTGATGAGGAACTGGTACGACTCGCTCAGACTGGCAAGAAGCGTGATCACCAAGTCGTCCTCGCTGACCGGAGCGCCGACCGCGTCGAGCTGTTCCGCCAGCGTCTTGAGCTTGTTAATGTGCTCCAGCACATCATCACCTTCGTCCATCGTTGTCGTGAAGAACCGTCGACGAAGAAAGAGCTTGTTCGCCAGGCTCTTCTTCTCGAAGTGTCCCTCGAGTCTTGACCATGCATCATGCGCGTCCTTCGCCGACCGCACCAGCGGCAGCTGCGAGTCCTCCAACGCGAGACAGACGATCGCCAGCGCCTTGAGCGACTTCTTGCGAAACGTCGCTTGGTCCGCCGCGGTCGTGCACTGCTCGAACTTCACTTCCCCACTCGTCACTTCCCACAGTTCGCGCTCCTCCAGCACCATCTGCATCTTGAACTTCCATGTGTGGAAGTTGGTTCCGTCGAACTTGTTGATGCGGGCGGTCGCGGTCGGGGCGGCGTCCATGGCGAAGGCGTAGTCGGGGTCTTGGTCAGGGAAGACGGGGCTTGGGCTCATAACCAAAAGGAAGAGCACTTGAGCAGTAGTTGGCAAAATGCAAAGTGATTCGATTCAGGTCCTTAGTTCGCAACCGCGTGCTACCTCTAAGCCTGCTACTGGATACCTCTTACTGGATACACCCTACTGGATTCTCTACTGGATACACAGTTACCTTATCCAATCAGAGAACGCCACGTCGATGCCCATCTTGTACCCACAATCTTGGCGTAATCACCGTGACGTAATCATCGTCCCGTAATCACCTGAATGATTGCGGTACAACACAGTGAAGGTCACGCCGACCTCACTGATGACGCGTTCGCGTCACACGGTCGCTTGGCGAGGCGTCGTCACATCAGTCTTGACAACAGATACTACGTTGTAGGACAAGTTTAATGCGTAAGAGAAAGCTTACATGTTCAACTTGTACTGTATTGTTTGTTATTCTAGTCCTAATATGCGTGGAGTGAAACAACATGTGCACCTAGTATCACTACCAACCATGCGTGCAGATGCGCGACGACTGCCCTGAAGGGAGCTGCTCACGCGGAACAACAACAACCTATCGTAGCTTGCTGTTGTTCCGCGTTGAGCACTACGTAGTGGGCGGCGTCACTTGCTGTCCGCAAGTTTAATCCTCTCGCTGGCGATGGCGTCGCCCTTGCGCTTGAACTTGTCCCGCGACGACAGCGAGTGGCGGCGAAACTCCGAGTGGACCAACGGCGACGCCTCGCTGTCGCTGAGCGCCCCCATGACGCTCCGCGTCGATGCTCTTGTGCTCGGCGAGCACCCCTGTGTGCTGCTTCCAGCTTCATAACCTCTACACAGCAGCGTAGACACTTCAGCATTTAGAGTTAGTACGTCAACCATGCCACAAAAGATGGGCCATAACAATTTAGAGAGTTAGTAGATCAAACAAGGCGTAAATGCTGCTGCTCACTACACCACAGTCACGTGAGGCGAAGCACTGTATTGGTGGAGCTGAAGCTCGAAACCCGCAATAGTACCATGAGAAGACGTTGAATAAACGTAGCGAATTAGGTAGTAAATTAGAGTTCATTAGATGTGTGATGTCATGGCCTAATAGTTCTGCCTGAGGAACTTGGCTTCTGCTGCTATCCTTGCGCTCAATAACACCAACAGCATCATCGACTTCACATTGCACTTCAATCGCATTTAGTGGTCACGCAGATAGAGACTCGTGGGTTCCCGGCAAATCAACTTGTGGAACCAGTGCGTTTCACTGCGAAATTGGTGGATCCGGCCAGCTGTTGAACACACATTTTAAGAATTGACGGTTTTGCTAAAGACCTCTAATTAATCGATACTTTTGCGAGTACGCGTTACACGCACGGCTTCATGCGACACCGAATAGGCAACCCGGAGCGTTGCTCCGGGAGGGTACACAGGTCGGCGAATAGTTTCATGGACGATGATAACGGATAACAATTGAGTAAATCCCAAAGTTGTGTTGTTTTTAATCCTTTTAAGGATTTTAAAAGAGCACTACCAGCCGAACTCTCTAGTTGATTCTAACGTGGGCATCTACTGCGCCTGCTTCGCAGCCCGGGAATAACACCCTGGTCAGCGTCCAATGGCTGCGTTGATGCCAGCAACGAGAGAGCTATTTCATTCAGTTTGCAGGTAAGGTATACTGTGCTCATTTAGTACTATTTTGTGTGCTAACAACGATCAGACGAGAGAGCTAGTGGAACGAAGGAGAGGTGCATGGTGCGCTGATCTTGCCTTTTAACTTGAGGGTAAAGTGCGGGATGAGAAATACGTTAATGTGCCAAGTCCTTGGAAGTGGGCAGGTAAAGAAAGCCTAATTCAAACGAACGATGCTCGTGTCACTGTCGAGTTGAGCTGGTTGGTTTGGCGAGAGACACGAGGTTGGGCATCTTCGGCTAAGTGATTGAGTATTGAGCAAATTGACATGTAAAAAAATGCAGCCTGCAGCTAGACAAGTCATATTGGTCATCTTCAGCTAAGCTTGGTCGATTATGGCGCAAATTGATACGCCTTCAGCGAGGCCATGACGCTCTCATAGTGTACTGGAGCGTCCGTAAGTGTTTGGACGCAGGTTTTGGTAAAGAAAGAACGATTATTATCAACCTTTGGTAAATATTGTGCATAAATCTTAACATTTATCGACGGGTACCCGATTCCGGCAGATATTAGCTTAAACATTACAATTAAGAAAGAGAGACCCGGTTTGGTACCCGGTTTTGGAAAGTTACAAGTTTTTTGCCGGGGCCAAGCACAGGTCTTCGACCTGTGAAATCCCCTGCCGGCTGCGCAGCAGCATACCTTATGGTTCACTTGCTATCTCAGTAAAATTTGAAGCGTTTGGGCTTCGCCTACCGAATACTTAAGGCGGGCCCGCCCACGCGATTCGGCGCCAGTGATTCACCCTGGAGCCGCTGATACGGCGCGGGGGCGCAAGAATGCGATGCAGCGAGAGCAGCGAGCTCGTCAGCGCGAACGGCCTTGGGTAGAGTTGGCGCAGGAGCATGTTGCAGATTTGATCGCCATTAATGCAGCCCGGGTGATGAACAATACTCAACGCCAAAGCCGACGCATGGAGGAGACGGAGAGTGATAGGCAGCAACGCTTGCTGAGACAAAGGACAAGCCGTCAGGCAAAGGTTGCTAGCTGTCGAGAGGAGGATAGACGAGTTGGAGAGCAGTTGTCTGCGCGAGTAATCGTGGCTTGTGACCTGACGGAGGATGAAATTCCGTGGATGGCGAAAAAACAACATTTTTTGCAAGTTCTGCGCCTCGCGCTTGCATATTACTATTGCTGCGGAACAGATCCCCGCTCGTTTGTTTTTGGAGATGAACAGGTAGGGAGCGAGGAAGGAGCAGGCACACGCGATCGGATCTCTAAACTACTGGATGATTATCCGAGGGCAAGTGATATTGCGGATTGTCAGCGGTTAGTAAACGAACATGCTTCAGAGTCAACCTCCATTTGGGCATGCGCGGCTTGCGGGCGCATTCTACTGGAAAACAAGTCGGAGAAGGTGTTTTTTCGTCATTGGAGGACCTGCGACCTAGTGTCATGCTTTCCGCTCCCGAGTTAAAAAAGCTCTATATCGATTCCTCGGAGGCAATGGTCCGAAAGTACCGACAACTGTTTTTTTTTATCGTGATGAAGTGTATTATTTGATTCCGGAGCTTGTTAGAGACCGCGAAAAAATACCATTGTGCCAGAGGTGCCACGGCGATCCTCGCAAAAACAAATTTAGTGTAGCTGCGGGCCATGATTATGGTCGAATCGCAGAGCTACCTGTTCTCAATGATGTGGCGATGGCGTGTGTTTCTCCGGCCCGCTGTTTTGGATTGGAGTTGTCGCTGTCGGGGAAACATTCGTCCGGTCACGCGATATGTTTCCCAACGAACAGCCCTTGGGCGCTAGCTCGTGTTCTGCCGAATGTTGACGATGTAAGCACGCGCGTCACTTTTATCGGGCCGATGGAGACGTAAAGGAAAAAAGTTCTCAAGCTATTTGAAATTCCAGTTGATTGTGTGTACCAATGGCTCGAGGTTTTTGTGAATCCTCCACGAGCCTGCACTTGCCCGTGCTGACCAACTGCGCGAATGGTACGGTGCCCTGTTGCCTGGCCATGTCTTCGCGCCCCTCGTCGTGCCTTAAGTCGAACTTTGAGATATTAAAGTCACACCAGTTTCTAGTTTTCTTTGGGACGAAGTCCCCTCTATAATAGCGCGTTACTCTAATTTAGCTGTTTTTACAACTCAGATTTACTTTTTACCAAGGGTCGATATCAATTACTAGAATGGGTTAGGGTCACAATTTATAATCGACTGCGGCCGAAAACGACGAAAAAAACCGGGGTTTAGTACCGCAATGGCTATTAATAGAAGGTAGAATCAGTCAGTTTCATTTCTAAATGAACTGTTGTCACTAACTAATAATGCCATAAAACCCGAGGGTCGAAGTTACGAAACAGTGATTGCGACGGTTAGTATGGAGGATATCAGAAATACCTTAAAATGCGATGTTTTAACCCTTTCGCGAGTATCCTCAATAAATGATAGTATACAACTCATTGATATTTCCTTCTAAAAGGGCGCTCTAGGCGTCCTTTTACAAAGTTACGGAGCCTTTTTGGTGTGTCTCATGGGACATGCCATCTACGGTGATTTGCAGGATACATAGATTGTATGCGTATGACTCAGAATTTGTATTGACAATGATTACATGATGATTGCTCTGCGTACCGATTATGATTTGTTTTAAAAAAAGGTTGATTACTAGCTTGAACTTGTGCAAAAGGGCACAGGATGCGCCCTTTAAGAGGGGGTACACTCTACCGTGTTTTGGAAAATCATCTGAAGGGCGCTTTCTGTATCCTTTTACCGCGAAAGGGTTAACTCAACTTGGAGATCCTTAGGACCCCTTGTTAAGGCTATATTACCTGTCAAACCTTATGCCTGCGTAAAAAGGGTAGCCTGTAAAAAGTCTGGAGCGACCCTCTACACAGCGAGCCGCCATCATATCGAAACGACCACAGCCGACAAGTTCGCCATAGCGTACCAGCAGCTGGTCGAGACGATCAAGGTGGGCGACACAGTGCTGCCTGACGGACGGACACATCCGCCAGGCGTGCACGGCCGTGGGTCAGGGCGAGATCACGTGCCACGGAGGAGATCGGCATCCGCAAGGGCGTGAACCTGCCCGGCCTCATCGTGGAGCTGCCGGCGCTGTCGGAGAAGGCCAAGCGCGACCTGGAATGGGGCGTGGAGCTCGACATCGACTTCATCGCGGCGTCCTTCATTTGCAAGGCCAGCGGCGTGCACGAGATCCGCGCGTTCGTGAACGAGTGCATTAAGAAGACTAAGTGCATCGCGCCCAATATCATCTCTAAGGCGGAGAGCTTCGAGGGTGTGTAGAACTTCGAGGAGATCCTCGAGGCCTCGGGCGGCATCATGTGCGTGGAGGTGACCACCCAGCACGTTCTGGCGTACCAGAAGATGGTGGCGAGCCGCTGCAACGCCGTGGGCAAGCCCATAAATGTAGCCACGCAGATGCTCGAGTACACGCAGAACAACCTGCGCCCGACGCGCACCAAGGTCTCGGAGGTGGGCAGCGCCGTGCTGGACGGCGCCGACTGCGTCATGCCTAGCGGCGAGTTGGTGGCTACCATGAGCATGGCCGTCAAGGAGACCAACGAGCTACTGCTGCAGCCCACGTACCGCGCCAAGTTCCGGTTCGACCTGCGCACGTCGACCGTCAAGACGGCCAATGAGATGCACGTGCAGCTCATTTTTTGTGCTAACCTCCACGGGCTACACGGCGCGCAAGGTGACCAAGTACAAGCGCGCTTAAATACGGTCGTGAGCTACGTGATCCTCGCGGGCGAGGTTTACTTCGAGGAACCAACGGCGGCGAGGTGATTTAACACCTGCGATCGCCGGCTCCGTCAAGCGTTTTGGTCCCGGCAGCAGTCAATGGCGTGATCCACATCACGCCATTGCGTGCGGCGGCATTTGCCATTAAGTAAGGATACTTTATGCCATGTACTTGTAAACATTACAGATAGCCTTCAATTTCATTTGCAATTTGTTCCGTGCTAGAGTTCCTATAGTTCTATTGGTCGGTCGCGATAGCTGTAGTATCGTGTTGAACGAGGCGTCGGCTCAGACATGGGGGAGCAGGGGAATCAATGAAATTGGCGCAATTAGTTGAAGTGTAGTAGCTCGGCTGAGTTTGGTGTGGCTCGCAGAGTGGCAACCGAGTGCTCTACTCTTCCGTCGTGATGGGGGCGCGAAGTTCGCTGGCTTTGGATGCGTGCGTTTTAGGCAACGAGTGTGTGCATGGTTGTTTGGGTGCCACTTTTTTTATTGCCGACTAGCCACTTCTGAAATTAATTAACCGAATAAGCTTAGCCACTTTTTGGGTAGCTTGGTGTCGTACTTAAATGAGAACGATACCGCTGCAGGCGGGTCCTGCCAACTACCGAGCGAAGCGAGGTGCTCCCCCTTCGGGGGAGGTAGAGGGGGGTCTAGGGATTTGTGCCCCAAGGGTAAAGGGGGTTTAGGGATCAGGGTGTACATATAATGCCAAGGCGACTTAATGTTGAAGCTAGAACGCTACTTGTGGTTGTTTTGGCTCTGGCGCATTCGTCTCTGCCTGCCTGAGCGAGGTCGTGGAAAGATGGCATTCGTGTTCATTGCAGTCGCTGCAGCGACTAGCGTAGTGTGTGGATAGCTGTAAATGATCAATCTAAGTCTATTAGTTCGGCGCTCGTTCTGGGCTGTAAAGCGTGCGTCCGAAGACGCTATACGAACGGCTGCGCAACAGCACAGAATGTTGCGCTGACAGTGCATTCAACACGCTCGGATCTTGCTCCTTGTCCATCAGAGGGAGGCTCATCAGGTTGAGCGCCGCTGCCACACTCGGAAGTTCCGACAGATTTTCGGTAAATGCGGCTGGGTGTTGGTCGTTACCTAGATAGGTAGGTTAAATGTATTTGTGACGAGGGCCGAGAGAATTTTTCTCCCGACCACGTCTGTCGTCTGCCTGAGTTCATCTCGCCCAAGCCCGGTAACAGGATTATCGTTGGAGTTTGGTGGTGCATCGGTGCTTACAGCCTTTGAGCATCCGAGAACATGGACCTGAGCTGATGTTGGTGTCATGCAGTCTCCGCTCAGAATCTGTGCTGGGTGGTCAAGCGTTTGGGGTCTGGGATGTTTGGCACTAAGCGTCTCCGGTCTGAGCTGATCCCTGATGTCTGACCGATGGCTTCTGCAGCAGCCGCAAGCATGAGTTCGGCATCCACCGTGACCATGTCGTCTTCGACCAGATCGTCGAGCTGAGCAGAGGCGCTGATGTCTGAGCGGAGCCGGGTGGAGTTCGAGCTCAACCTCCCCCAGTGATTATGGAGTGGTTGTCCAAGATGCCGAGCTGAGTCGAGGAGCAGGCGTCCGAGCGGGGTCGTGCCGAGCCCGATTCTAGCTTCTACTGTGGTCATAGAGTCTTCACCCAAGTCGACAAGTTGGGCGAGGATCGAAGGTCTGAGCGGAGCGACGTGGAGTCTGAGCACAGCCTCGATGTGATGCCGGAGTCTCCGCTCAAGTCGAGAAGCTGAGCGGAGCGTCGTGGACCTGAGCGGAGTGGCATGGGTCTGAGCGGAGTTTCCGGAGTCCAGTTGAAGTGCCGGGTGAAGAGTCGCTGAACTTAAGTCCAGACAGTGGTACTGACGGCGAAGTTGGTGGCACCGGCGAGTACACTCATCCGGCGAATCAGCCATGAGCCGGCCTACATTGGGTGCGACTGCTCAAGATCGCGGACCCTTCCAGCATCTTCAACAGCACCAACGCTCCACGTGCCAACATGGAGCCTCGCATTGGTCAAGACAAAGATATAAGCGGACCTCAAGCGGATCTCAAGCGCGCTTTGGTAAGCATACAGCCGACGATCTTCGCGCAGCCAGTCAGTGTGTACCCAGGGGGATATCACGCCCCCACTTAGTGAGTCCTAGTTTGTGCATGTGTAAACATTAAAACAGAGTTCGTTTTGCCCCGAAGGACGCAAGTGGTGGAGGTCTTTGGCCAGAAGGTGTCTTGGCGATCATCCACACAAATTCAAGCTAACATATCAACGTTGTCAGAGTGCCTCGGAGCGACGGCAGTACGGTTATTTCATATTACTGTTACATCTTAGGGTGTATTTCGTATTTTCGGGTGGAAGGTGATCCATTCTGAGGTTTAGGCAGGGTAATTGTATTGTGTGCTTGGGGACATTGGCGTGTCCCGGTGCATTGTGTGATTATTAGTATCGGTTCATTGTGGACCTGGTGCGCGGGTAGTCCCAGGGTGTGTGTGAGTGCCTTATATTCGGACTAGGCTCAAACCGAGTCACTAACTCCAGACCGGGTCGTTGCTTGACTCGAAGAGAAGAAAGGAGAAGCTGGTACGAGCCTCGCCCAGGCTCAGAGAAATAAAGGCGAACTCGGCCCAGACCCAGGCCGACCGGGAAAGAAGGGGTGTTGTGGTTCTGAGCCGGAACCAAAGAGAGGAAGTGGAGGCTATATTGTGTGTGGTGTTGTGTTCATTAAGGAAAACCCGGGGCATTTCGGGCTGTTGACACGTGCGGACTGGGACTCGCCAAGTGGGGAGCGAGTTTCGTCTGGGAACACCTCCGGAGACCTTCAACATCGACAGCAGCTGGTGTGGCCGACGCGAGCCTGGGCCCACAGCGTAGCCGTGATCAAAAGAACCGCCAAGGGGATCGCAGAATGAGGAACACACGCCTCGCCCGACCCGAGTCGGAGCTGAGCCAAGCGTTTAAGCGGCTAAGCCTAGCGAAGTGGAGTGGGAGTGTTCACTCAGTGGAAGGAGCTGAGCGGAACTCTTGCAGCGCTAAGCCGGGCTGAGCCAAGTGGTGCAAGGGCTGAGCGAAGACCAAGGTCGAGCGGTCTAGCAACCTGAGCCTTCAAAAAGCACGGGCGCTTCGTCACATACTCAATCTCACCTCAACCTTGAAATAAATGTGGCTGGACTTACAACAATAAAAGGTTAGAAGTGATAGATACTACATCCGATCCATACCATACCATTCCATACCATACCATACCATACCATACCATACCATACCATACCATACCATACCATACCAGAGACATATCGATTTGTCAGTCTGGGTGATTTACTGCTCTCCTATCCATATATATGGATATCTTTCTTGAAGACCTACCTTTGGCGTGTTCTCGCCTCTCCGGGTACCAGTTGCCGGCTTCATATTGGCCATTCTGACCAGATCGACTGGGGGACGTCGGCCAAAACTATGTGGTATACATAGTTTGAGGCGTCGGCCCCAAAGCAACATGCCGAAGCGCAGCGAACGTGGTGCTCAACTAGTTTTAATACACGATTGCTAAATACGCTCCGTAAGGTATCATGCGCGGTAATATTCCGTTTGCCTCACACTATAGAACTTTAGCTATCCCAGCCTACTCAAAGCTCTCGTAAACCCCGTCGTGTTGACCCATGTGCTCTTGGAAAAACTAGTTATTAGGGTCTGGGTCCTGTTCGAGGCGGCCAAACATTTACTCATCGAGCCTGATTGTTCTAATACTTTTTGCTCTAACGTCGTAGAGCATTTTTACGCTCTCGAGCTGCATCTGCGGCCCCGACACCACGACGCTCCTGGTCCTGCTCATCACCGCCGGACCCGTCGAGCCATGCGCGCCTTTGTTCGTCCATGCTGGCGGAAGTGTGTCTGCACGCGCATGCCTTTCCGCTCGGGCGCCTGGTCCACGGCCATCATAAGTGTCTGTAGCTGTAGTCCGGGAGTCCGTCTCGATCGTCTCGATGGATTAAGAGCGGCCCCATTCAGCATTCAGACTCAATACTGAGACCAAACCGGTTACTGGAGCCAGTTTTTCGGCTTCAGTTTTACCGGCTTCAGTTACCGGAGTGCCGGCTAATTAATCTGTGTTGGGCTGGCCACAGCATACCCCAGAGTTACTGCTATCCCAGAAAAATTTCCTCTCTTGAACCAGACTGCTGAAAGCTTTGAGTAAATCTTTTTTCTAGCTTTTGAAATAACGGAGCTACATCATGAAGAATGCATATTTACCTTTCTAGCAAATGGTAACAAGAGAGCCAAACGCGCTACACCCAAAACAATCTTCCTGTGAAGTACAGTAAAATGCCCCACGTAGTTTGCACATTCACTAAAATGCCTCGATGGGAACAAAGACAACTACAGCTCCCTCTTTTTCGCAAGATAGCCGTAAATTTGATGGTGGGATAGGGTTTACCTTTTTGCATTACGCGAGAAAGATGAAAACCACCCATGAGCAGGTCTGCGATGCAATGAAACGTATGCATATACATGCGGTAAGATATTTGTGTCGAAAAATCTTATGATACACAGATATTAGGGGGTTTCAAAGTAGCGATTTTTTGGACAGATCTTTTGCAAAGGATTTGAAAAAGATCAGACCAAAAATCAGACAAACGATGAGCCTCCGGAGGCTCATCGTTCGTCTGAATTTTTGCCGAGCTTATTTTTTGGTGACAGCCAAAAGCCAACCATAGAGCGGCACCAAGACGCCGCTTGAAGCCGACGCAGAGCAGCACCTAGAAGGCGGCCGGGCGCCGCGCGCACACCAACATGACGCCAAAGACGCCGAGTTGGCGGGTGGTGCCTTGGTCAGCTGTTAGCTGCTGCTGGGGTGGCGAGCGGAGGCTTCAAGCTGTTGCTCCGGTTGCGAGCGTTGGCCTCCAGCTTGGAGGACCAAGAGCAAATCCTTAGGTCATAGCAAAACCGAACAGCAACGTCGCGATACGACGCTGCGATGGTCAAAAGATGAATATTTATCACGAGGGTACCACAACGAAGGGTGAATTTATCACGAGGGACCATAATCGATATGATTGGCCAAAAACATTAGGTGCTTCAGTAGAGAATATTTGCAACTTACTAGAAAAAGAACTTGAGCGAGCGCGCGCCAGTGCTGCTGGGCCCCACTGCGGTGGGCCTCATATCTGATCGTTCGTGGCCACGCCTTCGGCAAGACGCACGGAGCGATGGCTCCTGGACGTTCACGCACAGTGGCGCAAGGTGCCCAACACAACGCTGCCCGTTTGCATGCCCACGGCCGACATCGCGCTGTTGCATTTTCATGCTCGGAACACAACCACTTCTTGTAATCTCCACATCCCTTGTTGCGCCAAACACTCTTGTTTAGATTGAATGCGTAGCGTCTGACAAATGACCCTGCCGTTTCTAGCTTCGCAAAGTGTATGCCCACTGCCGGTGCTTCATGGCCAAAGCGAGATACGACATCGAGCTTGCTGACAAGAGTACCCGTCTTGGGCACCAACGTTTTCCTGAAAGCACCAAATAATTTCGCGCAAAACACCAACTACTCGCGTGCGTTTCACCAACCAATGTATCCCGGAAGAACACCAACTCATTCCGTCAAATCACCCACCTAAGCCTAAACTAAGATCGAGGTTCGGCATCAAGACGCTGCCGGTGCGCACGAATACTGGCGGTTACGGCTACTGGCGCAGCTCCGACCGCTCCGCGGAGCCTCGTACCCGCGGCCGCATGGCGTGCTGGACGTGGCCAAGCTGCCCAAGAACTTCGACTGGCGCAACGTCGACAACACCAACAACATCACCATCTCGCGCAACCTGCTCATCCCGCACTATTACAGCTCATTCTGGTCCTTGCAAGCCACCGAATGGGTTAGTGCGATGGTAGTGGCGATCTGAGTAGTGTACGACATAATTGGTGGTGCAAACGGTGTTCATTGGTGGAAGTCCGGTAACGCTTGGTGGGTATTTCGTCCGGAATTATTTGGTGGTTTTCCGTAAACGTTTGGTGCTACGTCCAATATCACTGGTGCCGTGCGCGGATCCTCTTCCTTGGGGGGCACTCATGATGGTGTTGTGAAGTACTAGTAGCACTGTGGTTTTAGTTGTTGAGTCTATGACTATAGTTAGTATGGCCAGACTAACGCTAAGCGCGTGAAGCACCTAATGTTTTTGGTCAATCATATCGATTATGGTCCCTCGTGATAAATTCACCCTTCGTTGTGGTACCCTCGTGATAAATATCCGTCAAAAGATCAGACCCATCCTTTGCAAAAGATCTGTCCAAAAAATCGCTACTTTGAAACCCCCTATTTGTGTCGAAAAATCTTATGATAATCGTTATCCTTTACTATCCAGCTTAAAAGCCCACGCGTGAGATCGGCAAATATCCCACGGGTGGGCTCAAGCTGATTAGTTGAATGCATGAGTAAATGTATTAGAAAGAGCGTTTAGAGGTTACTAGTTAGACCAATGTAGTGTTTAAATGGAGTGAGTGGCAGTCCCGACCTGTCTTCAGGCCGCAAACCTCAAAGAAATTGTTTTCCAGTGGATCAGAGCACCCGGAGCAGTAATATGAGGCCTTCCGCCCGCAAATACTGCATTTGCGCTGCGCACGCAAGATTGTCCCGCTAAGACGCTTGTACCGGGGAAGCGTACTAAATGCATAGAGTGTGTGAGTTGGGGGCGCTACGTCGTCACGGAAATCAGCAGCAATAGTGACCCTCGTCGAGCGGTGCATCACAAAGTCGTTGAATACCAGTTGATAGGCCAACTGAGAGATGAATGTGTTGAAGTTGACAATAGCCGATTCTAAGAACCCCGATTCGACTGCTTTATACTGATCCACCACCACCATACTCTGGGACCTCGAATCGTGTACGTTGTGGATTTGTGGGTCACGAACATTGGAGAAGACGTGGACGTGTTGCTCGGGATGGATTTCATGTACTGTGCCGGAGTCAGGCTCAGCATCCGGAAGGACTCATTATGCTTCCTGATGAAGAGACGATTCTCATGTACGGTGATGCGATCCAGAAGGGTTACGGTATGGACATCCCGGTTGTCTCCCCTCACGACTTATACCTTGTTCTCATCATGTCAACGACCCATCTTTCGTCGCATTCACCGTCACATTTAGGTTCATCATAGCGTCCGCACCCTGAAAGTGCGTCGTCTCCACTCGATACTCTCCAAATTTCCATTCGTAATCAAAACATGTTCAGTCGTCTCACAACTTGCGGGTACGGTCGGTTGAGCTTCCTCCATTCAGGACGGCTATTGCCTGGGGTGATCGTCTCCAGCCTGCATAGCCTGGAAACGTGCCCTAGCCTTCGCCCCTTGGTTGAACTCGTACAGTAGCGCCCCACAGCTGAGTTGGGACAGCGGGATCCATTCGGGGTCTGCATACCCCTTCCACTTGATCAGGTATTCTCGAGTGCGCTTGGATATCCGCGTCCTCTTGATCCATCTCAAATCCAGAATCTTCTCGACCTCGTACTCATCATTGGCATGATCGGGTTCCCAACTGTCCTCGGGCAGTAGCGCGGCGTTGAAATCATCCTCATCATCGAGGTCCAGCTCAATCGTGGGCCGTTTCGGGAAGACCGCCCTCGGTTTGAGACGACTCACGTGGACCCATGGGTTAACCCGGTAGCCGGTGTCCTCGATCTTGAGGCGCACCCGAAAATCATCCCGAATCTCATCAATGCGGAACGGGCCATGCCACAGGTGGGCTAGTTTTCGGCTCAATCCAGGCTGGACCTTCGGGATGTGGAGCCATACGGCATCTCCCTTCTCGAATCCCTGGTATTCCAAGGGCCCCATGGGTGGGCGTTCATCCTGCGTGTGTCCTGCCTGAGTCCTTGTCAGCACCGCCATTACCCGGGCTGCCTCCGTGAGCGGGGCAGATTCCGGGCCGGGGCCCGGCTTCACTTCAGCGGATATTCCGGGAGTGGAGCCAGAAGGACTTTCTGAATCTGCGGGTTGTTCATCTGGGCCAGCAATAATCGTCTTCATCAATTGCTCTCGGATCTTGGACACCACTTCCATGTGCTGTCGCTCCTCGTCATCCTGAATCGCGCAATCTTCGCCCAGGGCCAGTGTCTTAGAGTTCAAGTAGTCCGCGGCCTGGTTATATTCACGCTTGACGTGTACGAGTCGGACTGTCCTGAATTTCTCCTTGAGCACATGGCATTCGGCGAGCCTCCGCTGCAGGTTAGGCTGTTTGCAGTTGATGAGTCCTTGTACTTGCTGAATGACGATCCTTGAGTCACCTACGACCACGAGGTCCGCGATGCCCCGCTGGAGCGCCATGGTCATGCCTTTCAGTAGTCCATAGTACTCCGCGTCGTTGACTGTCACTCCATCCAGGATGTAGCCGCGAGCCTCGATGACAGTCCATTCGGGAAGCTGCCACAGTATACACCCGCAACTTCCTCGTTTCGTGGACGTCTTAGCTGCGCCATCAAAACTCAGTGCGACTCCTGAATAGTCTGGCTCCAACATCTCCACACTCACCACAGGCGGCGCCTTCACTCGCCCCTTGGCCGGGATCAACGATTCGGCCTTGGGCGCTCGACTGTGACGCTGGGAGAGCTTCTGCCGGGGGCGCTGATGAGCGATGACACGCGTCGCATTTCCGTGAAACTTGCTCCGTCAAGAGTGTTTGAGTGTGCGGAAAAATATGGTTCTTCAACTCCCAAAGTCGTTTCACGAAAAGACCATCTAGCGGAAAAAGCCGACTGGACGTCAAGTGGCAACATCATTGTGAATGGGGTTGGTGGAGCTGGCGTCGATATTTTCTTTGCTCTGAAGGATGCTCTTTCTGAGAATTTGATTGTCTTTGTGGACCAAAGAAAACGGCATTTCGGTAAATTTCAGCCAAAATCAGCAAGGGAGTATCTTCGCAAGCTGAGGAAATCCCGCCCTGCATTTCTCGAGAAAGGCACGCGTTTGGTGGGAGGGGTCATGAATTGCGTTGCCCCGTCAAATCTTCAGGACTATGTTGTGCCGAGTGATTGCTTCCTCTTGACCCGAGACGAGACGGAGCGGTTCCATGGAACATTGGCGTATCATCCAGCATGTACACCTATCGTCCCAATGAATTCAGCCAACAAAACAGCTCTCAAGTCGGTGCTTAAAGGCAGTGAGGAACATGTTGACAAAGCCGCCGAAGAAATTTTGAGGAAGAGGATGGAACCTAGCGGAGGATTCATCGACTACAAGGCAATGCGTTCACATTTCAAAGTCATGAAGCTGGATGTTGAGGTTGATACCGAGTACGCGGTTTGCACAGGTTAATAGGCTCAATAAGTAAGTTTGTCGGCACAGTTGTTGGCAATTAACAAAAGCATGCAAACTGAAGTTTTGCGAGCTGGAGTAAAACCTGCATCTTGAAGAACCGTGTCAGGAGATAAGCAAAAGCCCTGTAAGACTACCGGCAACTACTTACGTAAAAGCCTAAACCAGAACCCGGAACAACCAGAACGCGCTGCTGCGTCGTGCCGAGCAGCAGACTCAAGAGAAGCAGGCACAACTGGATGAAGCCAATGCTCGAGTGAAGGCGCTGGAGGATGAACTGGCACTGCTCTCGCTCACAAGCGGTTCGAATGACTTTGCCTTGCGGGTCAAGGGGCTTCAGCAGGAGGTTTTCGCCAAGTCTGAGCAGCTCGTCCAGCAAGGCGAGAAACATCTCCGCGTCGCCGAACTGCTTGACTAGACGAAGAGCGAGCTGGCTCAGCTTAGAGAGGAGGTGGGAGGAGTGCGTAGCACGCTGCTTCGCGGGATTGGCTTGGATCCGGCGATCGCCACCGGTAGTCACGACTCGAGCGTCGATGACATGCTGTACCAGCACGTGAAGCTCGAGGAGCTGGTGCGTCTGCGACTGAAGGCGTTGGAGCATGAGCGGCAGCTCGCTGGAGGTCCAATGGCGTCTTCTTCGTCGTCTCTTGACCCCGCGACAGACGAAGGCGAGGCATCGTCGTGCCATTTACCCAATGTCGACAACTTCTCAGCCCTGGACGCTCTCGGCCTTGGTGGCGCTGGACGGTTGGAGCGTGAGATGCGAGTGCTACGAAGCCGCAACAAGCGGCTGATCGAACGCATTGAACGACTCGAAAGCGAGCTCGACACGGCTCAAGCTGGCCTGCGAGACCTGCAAAGCATGCGAGAAAAAGTCGTGGAGATGGTCGGTCGTGAGCGAGTCGAGAAGGAGCTGCGTGCCAAGAGCGAGCTGGCCAACAAGGAGCTGGGCGAGAAGGTCGCCGCTCTCTCGGAGCACGTGGAGAAGCTCATGGTGCATCTGAAGCACGAAGCGGCGGCCAAAACACGCGCAGTGGAAGCTCAACGTCGTGTGGACAAGGAGTTACTCGACGCAAAGGACAAGTTAGCCACTGCAACTCGCAAACATGTCGCTCAGGACGCAAAGGTGGCGGAGCTGGAGCAGGGCGCGCGAATCCTGGAGGACCAGCTCCGTCTAATGGACGAGAAGTTCATCGACGTGCGCAACAAACTGGACTGGACGCGATCAAACGCACGCAAAGAGAACAAACAGCTCTCGGCGGAGCTGTGCTCGCTGCGTATGAAGTGGCAGATGGCGAGCGACTCGGGCGTCCTCGCTGGGCTTCCCGACTGGGTCTCTGCTACATCCGTGGCGAAGTTCTCCAAAAAGCCGCCGCTAGGAACCAGCAGCTCCGACTCGCGACTGCTAACGCCTAAAACCTCCAACAACGGTCTTTCGCAGCGGTGGTGCAGGACGCCTTAGCCATTGGCAACGGCGCGCGTGTCAAGTTTGAGATCCCGAAGTTGCCTCAGCCGGAGGCTGACGCGGGCACACCGTGGTCTGACGCCAAGTTGTCCGTACTTCAACGTCAATTCCAAGACAAACGCCGAGGTTTGAGAATCTGCGGCCTTGAGGAACGATGGGGAAGATAATACTCACTAGCGCGATTGTTGGTGTGGGCAGCACGTTCGGCGTGGAAGTCGACGATGGCGAGAAGGTGGGTGGGCGAGTTGAAGGAACCGATCAAGCAGGAAAACTCGATGGCTTGACCCAGAAGGGAAAAATCATATCCGCCAGTTCAACATGGAGACCACTTCAATATCGCCTGGGGGGGGGGGGGGGGGCTCAGCTGAGTCGTCAACAATCAATTTGACAACGAGTTTTATTGGCCGATAATACATTCCGGAAGGGCAGATCCCGTTTAGGTACGATGGCGAGTTCTCTTCCCTTTCTTCATCCCAGAACTTGCCGCCTCGAGGGAAGATGAAGCTCTTCTGCGCGATCGATGGTGGGGCAGGCCCCGCGTTCCCTGTGGACATCGACGGGGGCCAGTCGGTTGGAGACTTGAAGAAGGCGATCAAGGCGAAGAAGCCAAACAAGTTGAAGGACATCGATGCAGGTGACCTGCAGCTCTTCTTGGCGAAGAGGGAGCGCGAGTGGCTGACTGAGGCAGACGTGGAGAACAGGGTGGGTACGGCTGGATTGACGCTTCTAAAAGCTGCGGGGGCACCGCTCAAGTTGTTTGGATTGACGGAGACGAGCGTGCTGGTCGAAATCACGATAGACATGGTCGAGTCTAACCGAACCCCGCTTCACGTGCTGGTGGTGCTTCCGAAGGGGGGAGATGTCGAGCACGACAGGGTGGATGTACCGAAGGGACGTGCTGTGGATACGACTTCGTGTGGTGATCTCCTCGCGTTCCTGGAAAGTGAAATGGCCAACAAGGAAGAAATTGTGGTAAACCGTAACATTTTAGGTGCCGAAAGTTTACAGTTTCGATTGGTTGGAAGAGAAGAGGCAATTAAGACCGCAGCGGATTGCTTCAACCGAATCATCGAGGCTAGTCGTGGTACAGGCTCAGACCGCACACACCGTCCTATACCTGTTTGCTCTGGAATTTCGGGTTTGGGGAAAACGCGTATGCTGGAGGAAAGTGGCACGATTCTTGAAGAGATGAAATTGGACCCAAGTACGTTGTTCGCCTGATTGTTCCGTACTACAATGGATATAAGGCAATACCAGTCGAGCGATCGATGCCGATTGAGGCGTCTTTCTCGTGGCGGCTTTTGTATCGTTTTTTTCTGGACAATAACTGCGCGTTTGATTTCGTCACGTGGTTCGAGTCTCGGCTACCTTGTAATGGAAGTCAGCTGACTTTTCGTAACTGCATTAAAATTATCGAGCGCAAGTTGCGTCAGAGCGTGCAAGGACAAAGGATGCAGTGCATCTTTGTTGGCATCGATGACTACCAAAAGATTGAAAAACTAAGGACCTCTGGAGCAAATGCCGGCACGTCAATCCTGCGCGAACTCGTGGAAACCATAGCACATTTCCTGTGTACGAAGATGTCAAGTCTGGTTGTGTTGCCAATGTTTGCAGGGACGGATTTGGGCGTCATTGCACCGGATTCAATCGCCAATTCCTCGTATTATGTGACCAAGCGGCTTCCCATGACCCTCTTGACCCTGGGGCAAGTGCTCACCTCTGTGGAGAGCAATGCAAATTTTGCTGGGTTCTTGCGACATACTCAGGTCTATCGCCATTTGTTCGCTCTTGGAGGTGTTCCACGGTGGGTTGTCGATTACCTATTGGGACTGAAGAGGTGCTCGGAACCAGATACAATTACATTGAAGAGCATCAAAACGTGCTTCGAGGGCGTCTGGACAACCTACGTCGATGCTTACACGGGGTTAATATCAACCCATCAGCTCGTCCGTTTGGCAGCCTATGCCGTGTCGGGTCGACAGGTTCGACACCAAGACGCGTTCGATAAACAGTTCAAGTGGTCCAAACTTCGAGATTCCTCGATATGCGTGCTCAACCCATCATCATCCACACCTAGAGTTTGCGATGTACGGGTTCCCTACGCGCTGTTGCAGAGTATCGCGTCGAGTGATGATATGACGAGCAAAGCAGAAATTTTTTTTTGTAGCAGCTTTAAGTGACATTGAAGAACTGGTGGATTCGAAACTGTTCGTCCGTGAGCCGTGGCAGTCGTGGGAGATGTTCGGTGCTTGTTTCTATGCTGCTCGAATCAATGCCTTGCTGGTGCTTGGGCGCTCGACTGTGACGCTGGGAGAGCTTCTGCCGGGGGCGCTGATGAGCGATGACACGCGTCACATTTCCGTGAAACTTGCTCCGTCAAGAGTGTTTGAGTGTGCGGAAAAATATGGTTCTTCAACTCCCAAAGTCGTTTCACGAAAAGACCATCTAGCGGAAAAAGCCGACTGGACGTCAAGTGGCAACATCATTGTGAATGGGGTTGGTGGAGCTGGCGTCGATATTTTCTTTGCTCTGAAGGATGCTCTTTCTGAGAATTTGATTGTCTTTGTGGACCAAAGAAAACGGCATTTCGGTAAATTTCAGCCAAAATCAGCAAGGGAGTATCTTCGCAAGCTGAGGAAATCCCGCCCTGCATTTCTCGAGAAAGGCACGCGTTTGGTGGGAGGGGTCATGAATTGCGTTGCCCCGTCAAATCTTCAGGACTATGTTGTGCCGAGTGATTGCTTCCTCTTGACCCGAGACGAGACGGAGCGGTTCCATGGAACATTGGCGTATCATCCAGCATGTACACCTATCGTCCCAATGAATTCAGCCAACAAAACAGCTCTCAAGTCGGTGCTTAAAGGCAGTGAGGAACATGTTGACAAAGCCGCCGAAGAAATTTTGAGGAAGAGGATGGAACCTAGCGGAGGATTCATCGACTACAAGGCAATGCGTTCACATTTCAAAGTCATGAAGCTGGATGTTGAGGTTGATACCGAGTACGCGGTTTGCACAGGTTAATAGGCTCAATAAGTAAGTTTGTCGGCACAGTTGTTGGCAATTAACAAAAGCATGCAAACTGAAGTTTTGCGAGCTGGAGTAAAACCTGCATCTTGAAGAACCGTGTCAGGAGATAAGCAAAAGCCCTGTAAGACTACCGGCAACTACTTACGTAAAAGCCTAAACCAGAACCCGGAACAACCAGAACGCGCTGCTGCGTCGTGCCGAGCAGCAGACTCAAGAGAAGCAGGCACAACTGGATGAAGCCAATGCTCGAGTGAAGGCGCTGGAGGATGAACTGGCACTGCTCTCGCTCACAAGCGGTTCGAATGACTTTGCCTTGCGGGTCAAGGGGCTTCAGCAGGAGGTTTTCGGTGGTTAGTACACTCTACGTCACAGAAATCTCATTCTCATTTGAGAATCTGCGGCCTTGAGGAACGATGTGGAAGATATTACTCACTTGCGCGATTGTTGGTGTGGGCAGCACGTTCGACGTGGAAGTCGACGATGGCGCGAAGGTGGGCGAGTTGAAGGAACCTATCGAGCAGGAAAACCCGAATACGTTGAAGGATGTCGACGCCCCCAACCTGCAGCTCTTCCTGGCCAAGAAGACTGACGGCAAGTGGTTGAGTGCGACTGATGCGATGGCTGTGACGCTAGACACAACACTCTCGCTGGATCTCGATGAACATGAGCGCCATCAAGGCTTTAAGTGGCTGAACCCCGCGCTTCGTTTCAAGAACCTTAATTACTTTGGAGACAATTTTCAACCGGATGACGATCAAGTTCACGTGCTGGTGGTTGTTCCGAAATGGTCAGCAGCTAAAAGGAAACGCGAGGTCGAAGAAGTCATCTCCGGGTTTGACACGCTCGCAATCGCCCAACTTGCTCACCATCTAAGTGAATCCAAGCTGGCTGTAGAAAGTTTAGTATCGGGACTTCCAGAAAACTTCTTGGACGACTTTGCCCAACGGTTTATACGTTCGTCAAGAGTATTTGGACGTCTATGCGATGATCACGGAGAAACTGGAGTGTGCGCGCAGAGTCCTAGTTATCGGCAGTCCTGGGATTGGGAGGTCGGTGTTTGGAGTGTTCTTGTTCCTCAAGTTCATGACGGAAGGAGGGACGTCGCCTATCATCCTGCAGTTGATTCCAAGATTTACTACTTCACTTGGACCGGGGCAGGAGACTACGAAGCATCGCTTGCGCCTCATCCTGGGAAAACCTACGAGGGCTTCTTTGATGAAAATGACCACAACACCGCGTTTATCTATGGCCATTTTCGCCATGTGTATCTCCTCGCCAGCCCTCGCCGTGAAAACTTCAACCACTTTAGGAAGGATTCGTGCTTTACGGTGTATCTGAATCCATGGACTAAAGCTGAGTGCGAAGAATTCGCCAGTAATATTCACGTGGAGGATGAAGGCGAATGGATTCAGCGATTTAAGCTCTTTGCGGTAAGCCGAGGTTCCTGTTTTCACGGTCGGAATTACTCGAGCTACTGGTAAAACGTGTGGAGGATGAAATTCCGGAGACGGTTGCCGAGTTCAAAGAGGATATATTCTACTCTTCAGGCGGTGTGCGTTTAGTGACACGATGAAGCACCTCATATTCAGTTTGTATCGCGATGTGGCACTGCCCAGCCTCCCCTACGTGGGGTATTCGTCTTTGGCAGTGGAGGCGATTGTCATCACTCGGTATAATGCGAGCTCAGTCGATGAAATCCGCTCGTGGTTGATGACTTCAGAGCAGAATCTGCAGTCGTGGCGAGGGAGAGAAGTCGTTCTGCAAGACCTCACTACCAAGAAGTTTTGTTTGGCATATCTCGATGGACAGGCCGTTGGATGTGCTGAAAATGGGGTCCAATTCAGGAAAAAATCAAGTCTATTCAAGCTACATAAGGGAAAGAATTTTCATCTTATTCGCATAGCCTTCTGTTCATCGTCTCGAGCGACATTTACGACGGGTTTGCGTTGCAGCTCTACCGAAGCAAGAACCGGACGACGTGCAAAGCAACATTTGATATCGAGGTGACGCAGTGTGTCGGAAAGATTACCAGCTATTAGGCGGTAGAACAAGTTACTCCAATACATGATTCACTACTTGCCGAAGCCTTCAGACTGCATCGCTAATGTATGCCACGACGGCTTGGATTTTATTTATCGTCAGATTCTTGCCGAGAGCGAGCCCCAATATTCTCGTTATGTTCGAGCAAGCAAGCATCGATTCCGCCTGCAAGCGTTGTGAGCGCATTGCAGACTGTGTAGTATTATTGCCGCTATCTCGAATACCTAGCGCACTGGGAAATCTAAAGAAGTTTTTCCCCCTTTTTACTGCGCTTGAAGCTACGAGATTCCGGCACGGGGGAAGCTCAGGAGCTTTGTTCGACTCGCTGCATGTTGGAAGTATGATGTTGTTTTATAAGGAAGACCAAACTCAGTAGTTAGCTATTCGTAAGGGGTTGACCTTATTGGCAAGGAGTTGGATACAGTGCTTGCTGTTGATATGTTGAGCACAGCCTCTAAACCAGGCACCAGAAAGCATCCCGCTAGTCGAAGCTCGAATCAACGGTCGATGGCTTCAAACTAACAAGTGTAACGTCTGAGTCATCGCATTCGATACGATGTACTGTATCTCCGTCATTCGCTTTGATGGCCATATTGAGATCAAATACGAAAGCCCTTTCCTCACTCACTGCATATGCATGCAGTAGGTGTTTTTGCATTGCTGTCAAAACTTGCCTATGTTTCTCAGTCACGAAGTAGAGTTTGCTGCAATGGCTTGAACCCATTTGTCGAACGAGTAGAACGCGAAGTACCACGCGCTGTTCGGCTTCATCGATCATCTCTCTGATATCCTTCACGAACTAACGGACTAAACGTCTACCCGTTGTCCAACTTTACCCATAGGAGGATACAGAACTGATCAGATAGGTACGTTCAGCATGTCTCCTTCACGTGGTCATGGCATGGCAGCACGTTCCCCCCTAGTCATTGTTCATTCCACCAAGTCGCGCGCGCATCGATGCCGGAGAACACGAAGGAGTCGGAGGCGGGGGTACAAACTCCCGCGACACCGGCATACGCCCCTTTCAACGATGTCGAAGGTTCACCCAACTACTCGCTGTTCGTGGACGTCTACCGCTTCCGCGTGCTCTTCGGATCTCTCATCGTGGGCGGCATTCTCGTCGGTGTCATGCTGCCGTTCGCCAGCGACGGAGTGCGCGTTCGAACCTTCGAGTCCACCGACATGGACGCAGCCGAGCAGAAGAAGATGCTGGACCGGTACAACTCCATCTCCGGAGCCAATACCGCTCTGCTCATGAAGCCAGTCGACGTGGTGCTGAGTATGGTCATCTCCGTCGCCTTCCTGTGCCTCGCGACCAAGTTCAGTCAACTCGGGGAGCGACGCGCGTACCTTGCCATGGCTGCCGTGGCTGCTGTGGGGTACCTCATGAACACTGGTCTTAGCTCCCTCAACGTCCAAGTGATCTCGGGGGACATCCACCCACGGATTCTCGCCGCTGACCTCGCAGAGCAGAGCTCTAGTGACGACACCGCTCAACAACTGAGTGCCGACGGATTCGTGACCACCACGTGGAGTCACAGCTTCCGTGAAGACACAGCCGGCAACAGCGTCCTCAACACCATCATGCGCAAGCTATTCGTACCGACCGAGAACGTCCCGACGTGGTGCAACCACACGGACGCCTTCGTGTCCCCGTTCAAGAACATCGCTGCGAGCTACGGCTTCCCGTCTCGATCGTGGCAGCAGCTCGCGCTATCGCAAGCTTTAACCCCAACAGCTTCCGTGGCTATGCCCATGAACGCTGCGACTAGCGATCTTCCAGCAGACTACGAACTCCTGATGAACCAGTCGATCGCGACCAACCTCGCGACGTACGCGCTGATAGTGAGCAACAGCTTCCTCGGGTGGTGGAGCTCAACGGACGAGGCGTGGAGCATTTACGCTCCAGGTTACGTCAATAGGAACCAGTCGATTCCCCTGGTCATGGCGGACTATCTGAATCTGACGGCCTCCTCGCCCGATTTCCTCCGTAACCTCCACGGGGTGATTGTCGAGTACTTTGAGAAGGCCGAGAACGCGAGTACGACGGACGAGCTGGCCACGATGGAGTTTTCCCACGTTGATTTGGCTGAGACCGTGGCGTTTGACGCCTTCGCGATCGAGATCCCGACGCAAATGATCGGGTATCAGGAGGACAATTCCTCCAGTGACAACGCCTATCTACGACTACTTCTGCAACACCGAGTCGTGCATTTTAGGGTCAGCAGGACTGCAGGAGTATACCGCCGACGGATCCACGACTACGGTGTACCCGCGTGTTCAAGCGCTCTCAATCTGTATCAACGACGCGGGAGGGGAAGACTTGGTTGCGGACTTTGACTATTTCAGATCGAACGAAGTGGCTCAGGCTTGCGACCAGCGCTCCAACACGTCCATGATCATCGTCAGCGTCGGGAAACGCATGGAGGGCGACGCCTTTGAAGATGACCCCGATGGCCTGGCCGCTCGAGTTGCCAACGCTCGCATAGTGTACTCGTTGACTGTCGGGCGGTTGTCGTGGAGTCTGGAGGACCTGTCCGAGGTCTACGACGCTAGCTGCGCGACTGGCAGTGGCTGCAGCGGCGTCCGCTTCCCCCTCGAGTCAAGCGACCAGCTGCTGGTGGGGGTGAGCGACATTCCCATGGACTTGCTGAGCCCGATCAACCTGAACGCGATCTGGTTCGACGTTGGGTCTTCCCAGTGGACGACGCTGGCGTCGACGGTGGAGGAGGCCCGGGGGGCCGCTCTCAGGACGGATACCACACCCATGTTCATTGTTCTGCCCCGCAACTTCAAGACAATCAACTCGACCCTCACCGAGTTCATGCTGGGCGATGGCATGAAGGACTGCGAGGTCCTCATCGACAACTACCTGAACCACATCGAGAAGAACCATCTGTACATCGAGCACACCCTCCAGCCAGCGTACACTGCCGGACTCTACTATATCTTCCAGAACGGGATGGTACAGTCGCCAATCTCGGCCAATTCCTCTTCGTCGCAGCAAAACTCGCTGCAGTTCGCCGGCAACATCCAGGATATGTACGTCCAAGTGTCCATCCCCACGACGAACCTGCTGCTCGCACTCGCTGGTTGCGCTCTGATCGTGGTGTGCGGCATAACGGTCGTCGCAATAGCGAGACGCGGGAAGGTGATCGAGCATGGCTCAGCGGCGACAGCAACTGAAGCACTGACCAACAGCGGCAAGTTCCCTCCGCTCATGCTGCGCTTGTACCTTCACGACGGAGTTGGTGGAGGCACAGGACCCACGCTGGACTCGCTTCGTGTTGAAGAGGTTGTCTTCGCTCACAAAGAGGACGAGGCGCAGATATTTGCAGTCGGCCAGGCTATCAGCGTCGAGAAGAGCATGTGCAAAGTGACTCTAGAGCCGTGAGGGATGCCACAATTTGCTGGTACCGGCCGGGTATAGCTGTCGTCATAATCTCTTTTTTCATGAAAATAATAAACCCTGGGAGTACATTTACGCCGTGTGATCGTTGTCTTTGGAGACGGCAAAGCGGTGCTTCTGTGTCTTCAGTACAACGACCACAAGTGCCAAGACCAGCGCTGCTGCTGTTATAGCGTTGAAGCTTTGAGCAGCGAACGGGTACGTGGCTGCCTCGGTAAACTCATTGAAGAGAGTCTTATCTTCATGTCCGTAGACGCTCGTCAGGTAGTTCACCATTCCATCTTCGTTGATCAACGACATGCCAATTGACACAGGCCCACCGATGTCAATGTAGCAGCTGGAGCAGCTCGACACTGAGGGCCATTGATCGACGTGGAGTCTCTTGTTGACCGAGTTGTGCATCTTCCAGGCCCACACCACAACCGCATGTGGTCCGTGCGCGTCGCTGGCGGCCAATTCGGCCACTAAACTCTCGGGATTCGCCTCCATGAAGTGATCGCGGCAGTCCTTGCAGCCGAAAAAGTTTTTCATGTACAGTCGAATCGCCGCCATGGTCTCACTCGGTTTCCACGCCTCCTCCGCCTTAAACTCCCTCGTAGTCATGCTATGAAACAGCGTCCACAGCCCACAAGTGTAAGTTTTGCAGACCTCCCAGCCCAAGTCGTCGTCTCCTCGGGGGTCAAACAGGTCAGTAGGGAAGCTCGTTTCCCTCGCAACAGGTCTCCATCGTTTAAGGAGCTCTCTCCACTCATCCATGGACCAACTCTTCTGCTGCTTCATCAAATCCACCAGCTTCCCCATAGCTGCGCGGTTCTCCTCCGTTGGGAACGACACAGCGAGGGCGTACCCACCTTAGCGCAGCCTCGTACCTCTCGCCTTGCAGCACCGGCGTAACAATGAAGAAGCTCTCCTCCAGAGCGAGCATCACAGCCTTACCGGCATCCAGTAGGCGGTTATACTTCATCTGGGCGTACGTATCGTCCTTAATCTCTTTCGACGCTGCGGTCTCAGCCTCTTCCCCGTCATTCCGTCGCAGATTGTTGTTCCCTTCAGCGATAGTCGACACGTCCACCCCAGACTCGATACTGTGCTCTTTCAGCACGTCCTCCACCCACGTGACCACCGACGTGAGCGTCTTCCGTCCTCTCGCCTCCATGCTCACCTTCTCATTCGACTTGAGTGGAACATGGTGGGCTTTGACTGTAGGGTAGGCGTGCACCTCCTCCCGCGTGCAGATCTCCTTGTGCCGGTTGCAATCTACCGCCCCCACCTGCAGCAGCTCGGACTGTGCGTAGAACGCGCCTACCTTCTCCCACTCCGGGCCGAACATGCGGCAGTGCGAGCACCACGACGAGTAGTAGTCCACGAGCCAGACCGAGGCCGAGTCGTTCAGCATGGCCTCGTAGCCCTCTACGTCCAGCGAGCTCACTACCGTTGACCCTTCGAACAGAGGACCTCGGTCACGCGGCGGGGATAGCGCTGCAGCAAGCAGCGGCAGCGCGGCCAGAGTCACGAGGAGGAGACGCGGCATGGTATGTAGTTGACGTGTCTGACTTGATGCGCAAGGAGTCAGTGAGTTCGGATTTAATCGAGTGTATTGACCACATAAGGGGCACATACACTGAAGTTTGTGCGACTAGCGCAAAAAGTAGCCATGCGGACCGTCTCATCAATTGCAGATTGATGCTGTGCGTATGATTCAAGTCCGCTGCTGTATTATCGCTTGATTTATTGAAAGCTTGAGACCAACAGCGCGTTCTTCCTGCCCCTGTGTCGATCATTTCAGAACCCGTCAACCATGGTGCTGCTGATCTGCGCGATCATTGGGGAAGTCAGCACACTCTCTATCGTCATTGACAAGAGTGTGACGATGAATCTCCTGAAAAATGCGATCAAGGCGAAAATTGAAGACATCGACGTTCCTGCACGCAGCTTGCAACTCTTTCTGGCAAAGAAGAACGGCGCGTGGCTTGAATCCGACACCGAAGACGTGAAGAGGCTGAAGACGTGAGAAAACTCGGCTCTTATTACAGAGCTGACACACACAGATCTCGAGCTCCAGGGCGATGCTAGACTCCAAGAAGCGCTGAAAGGGATGCCTAACCCCTCCACCGATCAAATCCACGTGCTCGTACGCGTCGAACAGCCTATTGTGCAGCAAGATGCTAAGCTTATCGGCAAACGCACACGAGTAGATGATTGGTTTCACGACGTGGCCCATTCCTTCCAAACGAAAAGGAGAAGAGTGGACAACGGCGAAAGTGGACACGATCGTAACATAAGGTACTTCACAATGTCCGACTTCCCACCTTTGGAGCATCCGCACGCGAAATACTCCACTGTTATGGAGCGAGAGTCATCGAGCTTCAAAACTACAACTCACTCCTCAGCGACCGGTTAAAGCTACCGAATGACGTGTTGATTTCGAGATACAACAAGTTTGGTGGAATTCCAAGATTCGTCTTCACCAAATCTGACCGAGACGAATCTTTCGAACTGGATACAGCGATTGCCTCCTTTAGCCCCCTCGATGCCATTTCGTTCGGAAACAACAAACCAAGTGAGGGAGCTGGAATCGTGAACTATCGCAGCTTCCACATTCTGGAGATGGTCCCAAGCGAAACTGATTTCCGAGCGAGTTTCCAGTTGGCTTTTTTGTCGAACTACATCGCCGAGAAAGTCATTTCCAGGATGAGCAAAGAGAGTTTACAAAAGCTGTTACAAGTTATAGCGGCAGACTCGGAACACACAGCCGCGCTACGACGCAAAATGCTGCTGCAGCTTGGAGATGAGGCTCAATGGGGACCAGGAAACCAAAACTGAATGCATTTTAAGTGTATATATTGAATTATATAAACAAACTCAAACCTCGCTACCTATAGCGAACGGCTGACTTCGGTCTTCCTTGTCGACTAACACCATACTTTCAACATGCAGTGCGTCCAATAAAGCCCCTGCAGCTTCTCCCGTGTCGGACTCTCGCAGCTCAAACCGCAGCAAAAAAGGTGGGAACTTCTCCAGATTTCCCAGTATGTCTGCCGCCATAGCAGCCGAACTGTGTTCGCGTAGTGTTTGTTCGCCACGTGTGCCCAATACAAAAACAACTACAGTACCCAGTACCATGATAATGCAGCCGGCAAAGGCGATCAGCATACTTGTAGTCGGAATGGACGCTTGCACGTACATATCGAGGGTGTTCCCCGAGAACCCCAACGACATCTCCACCGGATCATCGCTAATCTGCAGCGCTTCATGCACCACGGCGTTCTGGAGGATGAAATACAGTCCTGCCGTGTACGCCGGTTGAAGTGTGTGCTCGATGTACAGGTGGTTCTTCTCGATGTGGTTCAACAGCGTGTCGACACTGCGCTCACAGACCGCCAAGCCTTCGCCTTCCATGAACGCAGTCAACGAGTAATCGGTCGTCTTGAAATTGCGAGGCAAAACCACGTGCGCTGGCCTGGTCTCGGTTTTCAGCGCGGCCCCTCTCGCCTCCTCCAGTGTCGAAGCCAATATTTTCCACTGCGACGACCCCACCGAGTACACGACTGCATTCATATTGATGGGGCTGAGTGAACTCATCGGGATGCTGGTGCTGCTAACCAATAGCATGGCATTGGTACTCGAATTGGCGGCTTGCTCCAGCGGGAACCGAACACCATAACAGCCTCCATCACTAGCACATTCGGCGCCATACACATCAGAGAGATCCTCCGGTATCCACGAAGACACCCCACCGTGAGAGAGTACACCATACGAGCATTAGTGAGTTGTTTAGCTGTAAGCCACAAATCATCAGCCTCTGTGTCAGGCGCTGCAAATGAGTCGCCTTCAACGCGCTTCCCAACGCTGACGATGATCATGGAAGTGGCCGAGCGCTGCGTACATGCTTGCAAGATCTGGTTCGAGTGATAGTAACTCAAATCGACAACCAAGTCTTCTCCCCCCGCGTCATTCAAACAAATGGCAAGGGCTTGAACACGCGGGTACACAGTCGTCTCGAACGTATTGTCGTATAATTTCGCGTATTTGAGCACGTCTGACACAATGCACGCCTTCGTGTTGCAGCTGTAAGCCTTCAACGGGTTATAAAACGGAATGGAGCTCGACGAATTGTCGTTCTGGAGCCCAAACTTTTGCGTCGGGATCTCGATCGTGAAGGCGTCAAACGCAATGTTTTCAGCCAAATCGACGTGGGAGAACTCCATCTTGGCCAGTTCGTCCGTTGTGCTGGCGTTCTCCGTCCTCTCGAAGTAGTTGACGATCACCTCGTGCAGATTACCTAGAAAAGTTGCGTTACCGGACGCAGATTCAGGTAATCTGCCATCGCAATCGAACCTAAGCCATCGCCAGTAGTAGGGTGCATTTCAGTCCCCCAAGCCTCCTTGTACTCCCCCCACCACCCAAGAAACGTGTCGCTTACGACCAGCGCGTACACTGCGAGGTTTGTAGCAATGGAACTATTCATCGGAAGCTCTTCGTCCGATGGGAGCTCGGACTTGGAGGCATTCATCGGCATACTCAACGAACCCGTTGGCTCCCGTGCTTTGGACAGCGCACGCTGCTGCCACGATCGTGAAGGGAAGCCGTACGTAGCGACGGTATTTTTGAACAGATACACATAGTCGTCGGTATGGTTGCACCAAGTCGGAACTTCCTCTGTCGCCACGAATAAATTGCGTAAAATGGTGTTGAAGACGCTGTTGCCGGGCGAATTCTCACGGAAACTCGAGTTCATTGTCGTCGTCAAGAACCCGCTAGCGTCCAACTTCTGAGTGTCATCGTCAATGCTCTCCACAGCGAGATCTGACGAGATAATTCTGGGGCGAATTTTCCCCGAGACAACCTGCAAATTCAGGGAATTGAAGCCGGTGTTCATCAAATAGCCCACGACTCCAATGACGGCCATCATGAGGTATCTGCGGCGGGTTTCATAATAAACGCTCCATTTCGTCGCGATACACAGGAACACAACGGCAATCAACATGCTCAGCGCCACGTCGAGCGGCTTCATCACCAGCGCCGTCAGACTGCCCAGCCATCCGTTGTACTTGTCCAGTAGTTGCTTCTGCCCCGCAGCGTCCAGATCGCCCGACTGGAAGGAGCTCACTTGGACCCCATCACCCGCGAATAACAGCGTCACTCCAGTGAAGACGCTCGCCATCACGGCAGTAAGGAGAAGTGTGCGAACTCGAAGAATGCCAATGTCCAGGGTATAGTTCCCATAGGTTTTCGCTGCTGTAAGTTTGCTGGTCCAATCCGATTCAGCCCGCAACTGCAAGGAGCTTGGCATCGTGCCGCGTAATTGAACTGTGAAGGCTATCTCCCCTCGTCTGGTGGCTGCCCCCCCCCCCTTGATCACACGAGAATCCATGGAGTACGTTCACATTCTATGACTGTATTCTTTGGTTCGAAAGTCCACGCAACCGAGGGGTGACTTCCTCGCCCCACAGAGCTCTCACAGTTAATAAATCCGGTCATCTTATCAAAAGTTACTACGTTGTCAAGAGTTCGTCTAACATGAGTACCCGCAGTCGTATCGCTTGGGGTGTGTAGACATCCGTCTTCAGTTCTCTGTTCGTACGTTTCGTACTTAGTCAGGGTGAAGTCAGAGCAGAGAGTCGGATCACGTCCGCTGCACTTGTCAATCTGCTCGGAGCAGATTCAATTAAAGGGCAGCCATCCAGCCATGCAGCTCCGCGTCGGCATCGCTGCAATTCTTGCCGCCGTCGCCACCTTCGAGGCCGCGTCTGCGTCTACGCAATTCCACTTGAGTCTCGTGGAGAAGGAGGGCGATGGGGTGCACTACATGCTGGACTGGGTCACCTCGTCCAGCGTGAACTCTTCCCGGCTCATATTCGGTGCATCCGCTGACGATCTGAGCTCCTCCGTGGACGGCAGAAGCGCAGGTTTAGTGACGGAGGCGGCGGGCGAGAGCGTGGCGTGCTGGTCGGCGTTGCTGGCCAACCTGGAGCCGGGCGCCACGATCTTCTACGCGCTCGAGTCCGACGTCAAGGAGCAGACTAAGAACTTCACAGTCCCCGACGGGGAGATCACGTGGGCGGTGTTTGGAGATATGGGGGCGCCTATGCAGGACCACGCAGCTGCTGTGTCCCTGCCGGCGCTGAAGAGCGCGCTGCTGGACGACGGGGCCTACAGTGGGGTGCTGAACATTGGCGACTTGTCCTACGAGCTCACGGGCTCGAACGCTCAGAACTACATGGACGAGCTCGAGCCGATCACGTCGCGGGTGCCCATGATGACGACCGTCGGCAATGTGCGCTCAATACTATTCATCGCGTCGATATATCTGTTAATACTGACTGTGGCTTTGTATGTCATTGTAGCATGAGTATCAATACGCGCTCTCGCCCGCTCTTGCAGTGCAGAACTACTACCGCCGCTTCCAGGGCCTCACGCTGGGTGCTGGAGCTGCTAGTGGGTCTTCTTCCAACGAGTTCTACAGCTTCTCGTCGGGGCTCATCCACTTCGCCTTCATCAACACGGAAGTGTACGGCGACGAGGCCTACGCTGCGCTGCAGAGTGACGGGACGTGGAAAGTGGACGAAGCAGCTCGTACAGCAGCGGGAACTGCGCAGGCGAAGTGGCTGGAGTACGATCTAAGCCGAGTGAAGCGCTCCGAGACGCCGTACGTCGTCATTTGCGGCCACCGACCGCCTTTCAAGACGCCGAAAGGACTGAGCGAGCCTGGTAATCGGTTCGCGAAGGAGATCATCCCTCTCATGAGCAAGTACCAGGTGGACTTGTACTTGGCTGGCCATGAGCACACGTACTTGATGTTCGAGGCGTCGACTTTCAACGGCTACAACGTCCCTCCGATCGTCATCAGCGGCAGTCCAGGCAACAACGAGTACATTCGTGAGGAGGCTCAGCTCGGCATCAAGGGCTTCAAGTGGAAGACGCTGATCCCCAAGTACGGCTACGGCTATCTCAAGGCGACGAAGGACGCGCTGGAGTGGCGATGGGGCTCTGCTGCGTCGGATGCCACGCACGAACCTTCCAGCGCCATGTGGACAATGGAGGACGAGGTGAGCTTCCCCAGACAAACAACGGAGAGTAGCTATACAGCTGCAGGCTCTGCCGTGAACGAGCCGGTCGATGCCGTTGCTGGATGGGCTAACGCTACGTCTGGTACGTCAGATCCTTGCGTTTTGAGAGCTTGTGCTGTAATGCTGACCAATGTCATGTTTGCTTCACAGGAAGTGGAGCAGGAACAGGAAGCGCCAGCAGCAGCACTGGAAGTGTCGGAGCGGCGGCGTCGTCACAGGCATCTAGCCCATCAGCCACGACATCAGCATCTGTCAGTCTACGCTATGCGTCTTACAGTGTCATTAGCTTAGCTTCAACTATGGTTCTTCTGTTATGAGAAGCTTGTGCGCAAGCAGGTTGAGGTCCAGTGGAGTTTCATTTGTCAATGCTTGATACGCAACTACATGAAGCAAATTAAAAAAAAAGTTTAGCGTTAATCGCATTCCTTTTAGCCTACTTACGCAGATTGAGTTTATTGCTCGGGTACTTCACTTCAATGCGCGGCTTGAATTATCAGGTCAATCGCGCAATTATCGCATCAAACCAATACGCATCGTGAGCAACTTGAAGCGGCTCCCCACACTTTGCTCGTGGTGGCCACGCTATCTCAGCGTCCATAAATGGTGGGTGCGTGCCGATACCAGCATTTCCAGACCAATCGAAGTCGATCAAGACGACTCGGTTGCCGGCCGGATCCTAGATTGCCATGGAGGAGAGATGCTTCTTGACGAAGCTTTCTGATCTTGAGCAGTTGACCACACCATCCGCCTGGCAAAGGGGAGGCAGTGGATGTGCGCCTCGGCCACTAAGCACACGTGGCCATATATGGCCTGTTGCTAGTCAGGAGTCCCCAGAATTCGAGCTTGGTGAAAATTCCGTGACCTAAGTCTGCTTGTCCGAATGGTACTTGCGCGACAACTTGCGGTAGCTGCAAATACAGGTATATGCAACAAGAAGGCGTTAAAACTCTGATAGGGTCCAGGTATTGAAGCCCTCCAGAATGTATGGTGCGAATCAGGCTGCTGGTGCGCACGTTGCCTATTCTGGAGCAAAACCCTGTTGGAAGGAGCCGATACCGCTGGCTCAACTGAGCGACAACGCCGCATCGCGCTTTGGATACTTCGCACAAACGACACCACAAGGCTTGGAACAACGACACGCTAGCTAGACAACCGAACTACAAGAGGGAGGCACAGGAGAGAAGAGATAGCAGTAGCTAGCGCGCAAAAGCAAAATAAACTCACTTCACATTCTTCTCCTCGCAGCGCAAGTGAACCTTCCGACAGGTTATGATCCCAAGTGACCGCAACGACCAGCCCGTGGCTGCGCAAGAGCCCCATGCTGGACCTCCTGCTCGCGAAAGGAGCGGAGACGTTCAAGGAGAATCTGCAAGTCAAATCGACGCCACGGCTGCTCTTCTCGACGCGATCAAGTTGCTCACGAATCGCATCGATGTGATCGAGCGCGCCGTGACGCCTAGTGCGTTGCGCCAAGGTGCAGTCTCGCCAGAGCAACCCCAGCGGTGTGGAAGCATTTTCCCTCAGGCTATCGAGCATGGCAGCATGGGCATGCAGCGCATGCAACTGGACGAGCTCGCGGATGGCCAGAGAGGTGTGCAGACTCCTGGTGCATTTGTACGCGGCAGCTTCTACGGAGGGGTACCGCAACCCCAGTACCAAGTGCACCGCCCCCCTCCAGAGCAGCCTCAATACCAAGAACACCGACCACCTCCAGTGCAGACTGGTGAGCAAGAAGGAGGTGGCAGGTTGCTGTGGTGTAACGGGATCGGCCAAAATCTGGTTAAGGCCTGATCAAGCTTCCCACCAACCAGCACCCAGACACCGACTAACGGAGGGGGCCCCCCAACGATCCGTGATCGGCTAAACTTGTTCTCACCTTGTGTACCCGTCGGCAGACTGGATCGGCTCTCTCGGGGCTCCGAAGATGCAGCGCTTGGTGAAGATCGAGTGTCTTGGCGTGACGCGGGGATAGTTTGTAGAGCAGCGCGGTAGTCTTCGCTCTGCGTCCGAGTATACGCTCCGATCGAGGGTTGTTCGCTGCGATCGGTCGGCCTGGAGTTGATCCAAGGCCTGTGGTTGACTTTCCGGGTGTGTTCCTTCCTTTCCTGAGTTGCTTGTCGCTTCCTATAGCGAGATCGAGGTTGATCGAGAGGAGAAACGATCGTCGGCCAAGCACCAATACCCGGTCGATCGAGGACTTGCACACAAGAGATAGATCACTAGAGTAGGTCAAGCTGGCCAATGTATTAATCCAGTCTTAACCGTACCGCTAGTTCACTACCCAAAGTGTCGACGCTACCGAGGCCAATGTAGTTCCTGGGACTTGGTGACTTGATGGGACTTGTGGTCTTCGGTGCAAATTCTCTTCTGATTTATGTTTAGCTGGTCTCTCCCTAATGCTACCATCTTGCTTACCCTCCTACAACCACACGATTACTGGATTCTTGCCCCGACTTCGTCCTCCATGTGCGTCCCATCCTGCTCGATCCACGATCAGCCCCGATCGACGATCGACTCCGATCGGCCCCAATCGGCGACCCACGATCGGCTCCCGATCCACGATCGACCCCGATCGGCGATCCGCGGTCGATCTCGATCGGCGATCCACTCCCGATCGATGACTTATGCCGGTTGCCATGCGCCGCCGATCTATCACCTTCTGTCCTCGGTCATCTCAGATCCGCGGGCTCTGTCGACGATCTGGACTTGGGTCGGCCACGAATCACGCCGCGGTTTGGGCACGATCACCCACAATCCGGCTTGACACATGTCCTGCCTTACGCGCCGGCGTCATCGGACCACCTGAGATCTCCCGAAGAACTCCTTCTGATCCGTAGATCCTTGCTGCCTGTCTCTCGATCGCCGATCTCCCACGCCTCCAGTCGATCGGCCCTGCCGCCTTTCTCGGAGAACAATTCTTATTCAGCACTTCTCCACATCCGCCCCCCTTGCCGCAAGTTGTGTCGCACGGCGGCTCACTTCGGACAGTTCGACCTTGGTCATTCTCCAATTCGCCGGCCCAAGCGCAGATTACTCCAGATGGACGCACCACCGACCAACCCTCCGGCGCATTCCCCCAATCCGTCGGGTGACGGCGGTTCGACACACGGCTCGCCCCGGTCGACTCATTCGACCCCTTGATCGACGCGATCGACGGTCTCCCGTCATGCCGCGGCTTCTTCCGACGCTGCCCGCCGAATCGCCCGCCTAGAAGATGAGCTGGCATGTGCCTACGCTTCCCGATCGACTATGATCCGCGACCGGGCGCGCCAGGACGACATCGTGCGCGAGCTGACCGCGAACCTACACGACTTGGAGCGCCACCGCTGGGCGCAAGAGGCAGAGATCCGCCGTCTGCAGACCGGAGTCAGCGACCTTCAGCAGAGTGCCCGGGGTCAAGGCCTGCAGCTGATCCAAGGCCTCCGGAATCAGACAGCCCAGCAAACCGCCGAGATCCAGTATCTGGATCGTCGGCTGACGCGCGCTCAGGCCCACCACGCGACTGCTAGTGCCGATCGTGATCGACTGGACTACCAGCTCGATCTCGCCACGGCGGACATTTCGGACCTCCGATCGCAAGTTTCCGAGCAAGAGCGCGAGCTGGACGAGGTGAACCACGAGCTGGACCTTACACGCGGTAGCCTCGATCGGGTCCAGACTGCCCTTCGGATGGCCGAAACAGCCGCGGCCACTCCGGCCGCTCCAACCCCAACGCCCCCCACCGGACCCACGTCCGACGTCGATCGACTGCAGGTTGCCCTCCGCCAGGTGAATGAGGAGCTGGATCGGATGCGTACCGCCCGAGATACCGCGAGAGACCAAGCCACCGCTGCCGTGGAAGACGTCGATCAAGCTCATCAGGACCGCGACGTTGCGCTCCGAGAGAACGCCGATCTCCGTACGTAAACTTTCCGTGTCGCCTATTCCGTTGTCGATCGCTGCTCATGCCGTCGCTGTGTTACAGAATCGTGTCTCGAAAACGCGCAACAAGTGATCCGTGCCCAAGACGCCCAATTAATCGACGTCCAGGACGCCTACGCTATGTTGCGGCGCGTCAGCGATCGATCCAACGAGGATCTCGAGAATGTGGCCGACGCCTTATCTCGCGTGGTTCGGTGGATTGGACTTCGCCAGTGCGCGCCGACCACGCCTGTCCGTCGCAGCCGCAGTCGCTCCGGATCTCCGGACTCCGTCGTCGGGCACATCCACAAACGTGCCCGATCGGCGCCCCCACCACGCAGTCGGTCTACGAGTCGATCGCCCGCTCGGTCTCCCTCACCTTCCTTTTCGTTACCCGGCCATGACGATGAACTCCCCGCTGGGGGTCAGCCCGCCGAAGATCAACCCGCAAAGAAGGTACCTGCTGCGGATCAACCGCCTTCCGATCTGAACGATCAAGAGGGATCTGACCAAGAAGAGTCAGGTTCGCCCCTCGATCTACGCAGGAAGACTGGTTGGAAGAGGAGGAGTCTTCGGCCCGATCCGCGGCCGACGAGGAAAATTCCGAATCGGAGGGGCCCGATCAAGAGACCGACGAAGAAGAAGACGAGTCGGAGGGGTCTGATCAGGATGCTCTCGCAGCCTTAGCTCGATCCCGATCGGAGTCTCGCCGCCGTCAATCTGCCTCGCCGGCCCGTACCCACACTTCGCCGGCTCGCTCGCGATCGCGATCGCCCTCCGTCGTGTCAATTCACTCCCAATCTGGATCGGCTCGCTCCCAATCGTCCCATGGAACGCATCAGTCCCGTCATGGTTCACCTGGACCGACGTCTCTGGGATCCCCGCCTGGATCTCCACCTGGATCGCCGCCGCCCGGTTCTCCGCCTGGATCGCCGGGGCGTCGTCCTCGGGTCCCGCCGTTGTTCCGATCGGTACCATGATCCCGGGTTTCAACGCCCCCAGAGCGCTCGCTCAGACTGATACAGACCCCTGGCCTTTGATCCTGCTGGGACAGCTACAGATCACCGGCATGATCCTGTCGACGCTGACCCACCATCTCCTCCTACCCGGGGGCTGGCTCTTCCCGCTCGTCGTTCGGGGCATTGCCCAGCCTGCGGCCGGGGTTGGCTATCGAGACGACCTGATCACCGGACCTAACATCACCGCGCTGATGGCCGATCGCCCCTGGCAGGCGCTGCAGAACCCGGCCGATCCGTTGACTTTCGATCTGGCACTCCATCGAGGCGCCGGCACCCGATTGGGTCGGATCGCCACTGCCTATCTTCAATTCGAAGAGCAGAATCGCCAGGCCTTCTGGGAAACAACTCATTATCTCCCGATCACGGCCGCCC